GAAATGACAAAATTAATGAGAAATGATAAAATAGTCTTTCTAATAGGTTTGTCTTTAATTGCAATAAATTAATAGTTCAGGGAGTTAATTGCAAATGAGAAATAGTTTAAGGGTTTTTTTTTTTTTTTTTTGTTTTGCACTTTACCTTAAAAATTATTATTATGATGAGTAGGTATTTTTGTGCAAACTAAGGGCTGCTTGGTTCATTTTTAAAAAATGATTTTGATAATTGAAAATCAATTTATGTACGTAGGTGTGTGTTCTCAAAAAACAATTTTTTAACTTCCAATCAATTAATTATTTAGGTCACATCATTTAGGTCACAATCTTTAATTATTTGAAGAGTAGTGTTTGATATCATGATCCCAGATACTCGAAAACCAATTATTTTATTTTTACTTTTTTATATATATTTATTTATTGTGGATTAATCTCCTCTTATCACATTACTTGAATAAATTTAAAGGATATATATAAGTAAGGATCAAACAAAATTGTGTTTGATTCCATAGAGTTTGTTGTAAAAAATTCCCTTAAGCAATGTTTGAATTTACAAATAACCTATTTGAAGTATATTTTATGCATAACACCCTCTGAATTATCATATTTTGTTGTAAAATGCCTCGTTGCTTAGACTATTTTTTATTAAATGATCATAATGTCATTTCTTATTGAATTGCACTTAATATTTTTTTCCTATTGTAACAAGTTATGAAAAAATTCATACTAATTTGATCACATATTCGCAATTAAATTTGCATAAATTTATATTTAATTTTTGAAATTAAAATTTTTAATTAAAATATTAAGTAATTTTGAAAAAAAAAACAAATTAAGTAATTTCTTAATTTTTCATGAATATATTGCATGAAAAAGAAGGTTTTGTATTTAATTAATTTATTATTTATTTTTTTTGAATATATTATATGAAATAGAAGGTATTTTTTAACGGTAAAAAAGTTACCGATTCTAAAAAGTTTTATTATAAATAGTAAAGTTTTAATAATAAATTAATCATTTAGAAAATAATACTTACAAATCTATTTATTTATTTTTTTCATTTTTATGATAAATTGATACTAATAATAAAATAAAGGTAAATGGTGTAATTAATATTTAGATAATAAAAAATTTAATAAAAATAATTTAATAAGAAATGACAAAATTAATGAGAAATGGTAAAATAATATTTCTAATGGATTTGTCCTTAATTGCAACAAATTAATAGTTCAGGAGAATTATTTGCAAATGAGAAACAGTTTAAGGGTTTGTTTTTTGTTTTTTTGTACTTTACCTTAAAAATTATTATTATGATGAGTAGGTATTTTTGTGCAAACTAAGGGCTGCTTGGTTCATTTTTTTAAAAATAATTTTGATAATTGAAAATCAATTTATGTACGTAGGTGTGTTTTCATAAAACAATTTTTTATTTTCAGAATGACAAAGCATCAAGCAGATTATCTGAATACTGAGTACAATTATTAAAAAAATAAAATAATATTTTGTAGCTTGGGAGACTTACCCTCTTTGACTTGTTTAATTTAAAGGGTAGGTAAGGCCTGCTTACATGAACGTACTCTGTGTAGAGGACAAAGAACCCTTCAAATAATACTATAATTAAAATTATAATGATTATTATTATTAAATAACTAGATTAGACTATTTGAAGCCATTCTTTATTAAATCTAGAGGACAAAGACCACTTCAAACTTGTTGCTACAGCCACCCAAATAAACAAAATAATAGAATCATTTATTGGAAATCTTATGTATTATCGTATTAGAACAAGTTGATGAGATTTATATAGTAAATTAATTATACATTAAATAAACAAAGTGAGAGAACACATCCTTCAACTACTATCAAATAATACAACAAATGGATTGGACAAAATTTCAGTATAGAGATTTCTTAAACTACTCTTTTTTGATTGCTCTGCACTTGGTCTACAAGCTTTCTAGCTTTGAGCTTTGTTAGATTGCCGTATTGTTTGGTTCACCGGAAAGGAAAAGGGAAAGGGAAATTAAGATGTTAAAGGGGATTGGAATAACACAGGCTTAGTCATACATAACCATGAGAAAGTCTACAATATCCCGAAATGATAATAAATAGTGTGAAGTTTCCTAGATCAATTAATAACAGTCATTGGGGAAAGGTTTGGTTTGGGCCGCTCTCTCTCACACACATTACACATAATTGTTATCCTTTTTAGTTTTGGGCCGGTTTGCTTTTGGGCTGAATTTAAATTTGTGGTTTGGGCTTAGGCCCAATGAGTTCTGTAGCTCCTCCTTGTTCTCTTACCTTCTTTCTATTTATAAAATTCTCTTTATTTATCGGATTAAAAAAAAAAAACTTTGTTATTATTATTATTTTTATTATTATTCATGGACCATAGTGTTCTTATTGAAGAACTACGCATCCATAAGGTCCAACAAGCTACTAAAATCATATGCCATATTTTATGTACAGACTTTTTGAATTTTTAAAGATTGAACTTGTTGTATTAAATACTGTGTTTGGAAGCATTAAATGGGTGTTTTGAAATTATAATTAGAGATAAATTTAGTTTAATTTGGAATTGGAATTAGAGAAAATTTAGTTCAATTTCAAAGTGTTATATTAATTTTTTTTTTTTTTATAAGGTATTTATTACTATTTTAATTAAAAGCCATGAATTTTTATCTTTGACTTGCACAACACATCTCATGCTCAAGGATCAAAAAGTTTCTCTTTTTTTCCTCCAAAACCTTAACATTTCCGTTTCCACTTGGAAACAGCTAATTAACGATTTCATTTTCAAGTGAATCAAAACAAAATATGGTTGCAAAAGTAATATTCCAAGAAAAAAAAGTGTGTGTGTGTGTGTGTATATATATATAATGTTCATAAAACCAAAATAATCAAATATACCCACTATGTAAACAAGAATTCCAAAAAATAATAAAAGATATACTTTAAAATAGTAACAAATAAAGAGAGAAGTAGAAGAAATAGATGAAGAGCTAGCTTATTGTAATGCTTAGGTATCCTAGCTTAATTGGTAATTGTTCACTACTACATATGATTGTTTATCTGAAGTGTATCATGTCTACTTTGTGTGTGTGTGTGTATACATATATATATAATATAGTTCATGCATGTATATGCCTGTTATCTTATAGCGTTTATTAATTTGGTGACAATTATTCAGTCTTACATAGAAATTAGTATTAGATATACCTTATACTTATCTCTACTAGGAAGCAATTGTTTGATATAATTTCATGACTTATTCAAATTCGTGTATGGTAGTGATCTAGTTAGACCTAAAAAAATATTCAACTAATCAATTATATATATATATATGGCTCATCTTCACTCATTCATGTGTATTGTTTGATATTATTTTCATTTTATTTCCATGTTTCTTTCAAGCCAACCATAAAATATATATGACATTCACAAACGAAATTTTGATATCCATCTATTTAATTTCCTGCTGTACTGTAAACAGATTTACATTAATGTTACATCTCAAATAAATTACTTAAATGATGTGAAAAACATGTGAAAATATTGTTTTGATTCTCATTCACCCTTTCTTCTCCACAATATTATATATGACGCTCGAGGGACGAGACTGTAAAACTCTGACACCTTGAGTTCGACTCTTACAAAACCCAAAAATACTCGAGTTTAAATAATATTTATAATTTGCAAGTGACTGTACATATTTGAAGTTTACCTTACATCCATAAATGATGGTCGAAAGAATTTTCCAAATATATATGTATATATATGCGCATGACCTAAGGAATTTTTGTAAACATATATAAGAGCTAGCATGTTCTATATATGCTCCCAACTTGGACTATATATGCATAGTGAGTAGAGGCTAGCTAATGTTAAGCCCTGGGTAGAAATTAAAAGGGAATTTTTTATGAAAAAAAGTTTGATACTTATTCGACTCTTTTAGATTATCATATCCTTACTTTTGTCCTAGACAAACAGGCCTTTTATATACAATAATTAAAGTATTGTATATGAATATGATATATATATATATATATATATATATATATATATATATATATATCCTTTTGTATGAAAACCTTATGGTAGTCATGTAATGTCACGCTAATAATTAAGAGGATAGAATACTTGATTAAAAAAATAGAAATTTGATTTTGGGTAATAGCTATATTATTTTTTTCTAATGATTCAATGGTTTAAGTGAGATGACCCATTCACAGCGAACTTTTATTTATTTATATATATATATATATATAGTAATGTTCAACTGCTCTCAAGTAAATAAGGAATAATTTACTCACTTTTAAATAGTAACCTTAAGATTTAGTTGGATGTATATATGAATCTACTCATGATCATCACCCCAGATAATTTGTGTGTGTGAGCTAGTGTGAACTGATTAAAAATATTAAATTCTCTTTCATATAATAATATCAAGAAGTGCACATATTGCATAAGTCTGAATTAAGTTTATGTAGTTAACAATTAAATATTTTTTAATATGATTTTTAGTGCAGAAAAAAAATAATGAAAAATTAAAATAATTATTTAGATACTTTTTCCTTTTTTATTTTTATTTTTATTTTTTTGGAGAGGGGCTGTACTTCACAATATGTCCTTAATTCTAGAGGTCACACAATGCATAACTCAGCCATCAAACTCTCAAACACTAATTTGAAGACTGTCAAAAACCCAATTGACAAGGATTAATCAATAATGAATCTCAAAATTAATTTGTGAAATCAAATTTTAATCAAAATGAAGAAAATTGAACTCACAAAACGAACAGAACTAGGCATATTAATTGTATTGGAAATCAAGTAGCTAGCTAGCTAAAACCAAAATCAAAGGGAAATATGCATACATATATCTATATAAACCTTAAGTTTTCCATTACACAACATATTGGAACATAGTTAGATCTCTCCTCCTTTCTCTCAATCTTTCTTGTATATACACACATATAGCATACATATATATAATTACCTCTAGTAAGGAGGGCGACCATGAGCCCAAGAAAATGCCTCAGGGTTCAACTGTCCACCACTTGAAAGCAAATTCGGTGGCAAATTATAAAGAGAAGATGGATCAACCAAGCCACTTTGCTGCTGCTGCCCTCCACTACCACCAATTGCCGGTGGCGATCCACCACCACCTCCACCTCCACCTCCACCGCCAGCTAACCGCCCCGCTTCTTCTTCATCCTCCAGAGGCAGCCTCTCATAAGTAGCATTCGAAAACGTAGCTGCAATCACCATGACAGGTCCTGCAGCCACCATTGACCCCACCACACTCCCTCCCACCACCTGACCCTGCCCACCCGAGAGGTACACCGTCAAGCCGGTGGAGCCTGGTGGAGATGGTCCGGGGAGGAACGCGCCGGTCAGAGACAGAATCTCGAACCGGCCCTGCAGTGCCATGACTGCATTAGGCCCTGAGGGTTGCCTAAGCGTGAGGTTTGTCACTGTCCCACTTGCACTCAACACACAAACCCCTCTCTGCCGCCTCCTAGCGAATTGGGCTATGCTCTCCGCCACGTCGGAGCCGGCTGCCACCTCCAGCACGTGGCTGCGCAGCGCGTTAGGGCTGTCCCGGGTCACGAAAATGGGCGGTTTCGGCTTGTTCTTCGAACCGGCCGGCCGGCCTCTAGGTCTACGAGTTGTGGCCACCTCGATTGCACCCTCCCTCGGCTCGTCGCTGTTCTCCCTCTCTTCTTCTTCGTCTCCGCCGCCACTGCTGCCATTTCCGCCGTTCTCGTTGATGGTTATACCTAGATCTGGCCTTTTCAGCTTGGATGAACCGGTTGAGGATGATTCCAGTCCTTGCAGACCGACTTGTTGTCCGGTCCACCAACGGTTCGACATGTTCATGGTTTGAAGAAATATGGATGAAGAATTAAGGTAGAAGTTAACCAAAAGCTGATCTAACCCTAGATCTTGATTGAATTTTTATTCAACTACTATAATTGGTGTGTATATATTTATACACTCCATCAAAGTTAAGTCACCAGGAGAGAAAAGGTTTTGATATGCTCAAAGAGACAATCAAAAGAACCTAAAAAAGATGAAAAAAGGAGAGATTTAAGAACCCTTTGTACACAAACATTTTTTTTTATGGAAGAAGCTTGAAGGGTTGAGGAGATCACAAACCTCCTAGATGGTTTAAATTAAGAGAAGTATCTAAGAGATGACCATGATGAAGAAGAAAAGCTCTAAGCTGAGAGAGGTTCTCTCTCTAGATTTCTTGGGTTTTATTGTGAAAGTTTCTAGGTTTTGGTGGTGCGTGAGTGTCAAGGTCTTGGGGAGCTCTATGTTTGCCTTGTTTTTCTCTCACTAAAATGTTGTTTCCCTCTCTCCTCTTTGAGAGATGAATGAATGTGTGCGTGTGTGAGAGAGAGAGAGAGAGAGAGTAGTCTTGGAAACTAGGGTTAGTGTGTGGGGTCGCGTGCGGCCGGTGGGAAAGTGGGGTGCACTAAGCTCTCATTATTGTTCTAAGAAACCAATTAAAATCTCACTCCATACTTTCATGTCTGTTTTATCTTTGATGCCATTATTTTTAATTTTTTTCAGGCTATGTTTTTCCTTTCCTTTTTCATGCTTGTATGATCATTTGTGTTTGAGCGAAGATATGGAGTCCGAAAATCCGATAACTTCAAATGATCGATATCATGTGAATGGGAGACATCACTTGGAGTTGGCCGATTGTCAAACTTTTATGCTGTTTTGACAAGTAAGAATGGATCAAAATAAAATGTTTATTTCAAAAGTTTCTTTATTTGGTAGGATATTTTCTTGTAATGAAAATTTATTTCACAAATAAATTTATAGAAATGGTCGTTCCATTTCCAAGTATTTTTTTTTAAAAAAAATTAAATTTCAAAAAAAATCTCATGTTCCAAATTCATAAACTACCATCATATCGTCGCCGCCGCCACTACTATTGGCACATCAACGGCCTTCCATCACTGTCACCGTTACTGTGACCGTTGTCGCTTTCTTCCACCTACACCTTAATTCGTCGCCATCACCATCACCGCTTTCCATCGGCTTCCACCAACCCTACCGCCATCACTCCCTATACCATTATCACTTTCCACCACCACCGCACAACTGTTACTGGTACTGCCACTGGCATTGCCTTCCAACACCTACACCATTTCCGCCTTCCAGCCATTACCCCTATACCACTGCCGCTTTCCACCAGCCACCAACGCACCATTATCACTGCCACCACCACTACCTTCCACCACCTACACCATTGTCGCTTTCCAGCACCACCACCTACACCGCTGCCGCCTTTCGCTCCACCACCATTAATGTTGACATTTACCACCACTGCCATTTTTTAATTAAAAAAAAATTATAAAAGAATGTTATACTGTCAATATAATTTATTTATCAATGAGAGGGGTATAATTTGAATTACTCAATTTGAAATTCATTATATTCTAGGTTTTAAATTGGTCCAACTAAATATTAGAATGTTTATATATTATCATTCTATTCATATATCATTTTATATTTGCAATCAAACAATAGAAATAGAATGACCATTCTATTTCATTCTCAATCTCATTCCATTCCCACTTGCATTCTATTTAGCTCACAAATATGGTCATTTCCAAGAGAATGGAAAGGGTTGCAGGCATGCCAGGAAGTGTTGTCATTTCAAATGGGAGCTCCAAACAATGTTCCAGTTAAAGATTTCGGGATCAGGCGATTGTATGAAGGATTGGAATGAACACCTCCAAAGCTTATTTTTGCCTTGAAAATGGACTTTGGAACTGTTCTGGTGCTAGTGGAATGAAGAACGAAATTGAAAGTCCAAGACTTGTAATTGAAAAGACTATGAACTACTTGCTGGAAAATTGGAAAAGAAAATGTTGTAACTTAGATTAAAGATAATATAAATACATTGTAAGGAATGTAAAGATACATGAAATAACAAAGTGTTGTAATGATTTGTTGTGTTTGTTAAACAAGGTTTGCATGCCAGGCCTAAGTGCTCTATTTATAGAGCTCTTCTTGTAACAGTTGGAAATGGTAGTTCTAGCAACAATTGGAAATACTTCCAAGTGGAACGTCTGAATTATGCTACGTGTCCCATGTCTTCCCCAGATTTCTTATAGCGTTGACATGTGTTAACCCATGTGTTCCTATGATCTATAATTTCTGAGGAGTGGTTTTGCTGGTTAAATGCTTATTATAAGCATTTACCCACGTTCTGGAACTGCTAGATGGAAATGTGGCGATTCTAGTAGCAGTTGAAAACTTCCACTTGGAAGGTCCGGATCATGCCACATGTCCCGTGATCTAATATAACTTTCTTTCATGTGCATGAATCATTTTCTTTATGAATTTTTAGTTCTACACAGACATATATATATACCATGACATATACACGTCTCCCATTAATTTGAATAACAACCCACGTTTTTAATTAGATAGTTTGCTACAATTTAGCAAAAACTCCTAAAATTTCTCTTGATGAAACCCAGTCATATATGTTCCTTCCCGTGCATATATCCTCCTACAAATACTTCTTCCATGTAATAACAGTTGCATGATATTTGGAGTTAGCAATTCCTATAAATGAGGAAATATTTTAGGAGTGGGTGGTTTCCTTCCTTATTGACCAAGTCCACTTTTGGCATTTAATATATGCCATAACCGTTTGCATAATTCTGAAATAATCCCTATAAAATAGGAGATATTGTAGGAGTGGGGAGTTGCCATTCTTGATGACTAAAACAAAAGAAACACGTGGCTTTCTCGATGTTTTCCATATGGTAGTAATAAACCACATGTGCTCTTATGGTGGGCGGTTTGTGTCTCATTGAATACCCTCTTATTTTTTCGTAATTGGTACTTACACACACTTGTTTCTTCTGAGACTTAAACCCCTAACCTCCCTGTGGGAGGTAAGAGGCTGCCCGTTGGTTCTCACTAAATACCTTCCATCTTTGATTCATTCTTTAGTGTCACATGGAACTGTCTACAGCGTACGTAGCATTCATTTCCAGTTGTTGGAATAGTAATCTGGTGTGGCAAGTTCCCCTGAAACTCACTACATGTCAATTTTCCATTTGTCCAGATTGGTGGTATTAACACATTGCATTCTTTTTCTGCATGCCAAACATAAATGTTTTTTCTTTGTATTTTAAATGACTTCATTACTTGAACTACCACCTTATTTTTGTACCAATTAATAAGTTGGATAAGTTTATCCCAAGTTATAGTATATGTTTTTTTATAGATTTTTTTATTTTTATTTTTTAAAAAGGGCACCCTTCCAAACTAATTATCTCACTCGTATTGCTTAAATTCAGATTAATTATTTGGTGATTAGGGATAAAAGCCATCTTATCCCCATTTAGCATAGCTATTCACATATTCGTCCAACGAATTAAAGTAAATAATGAAATTTTATTATTATCAAACAATAGAATATTTATTATCATTCCATTCTTACATCGGTTTGTTGATTACTTTTGTAATTTTATTACGAATCTAGCAAAAGTAAATAATGAAAAAAAAATAATAATTATAATAATAATTATTGTTCTCTTATGCGAATAAAAATTATATTCAACTTCTCAATTAGAACTTGAGACTTAATATTATTATAAGAACATCAAAATAAATAGATAGAAGTTCGATCTCAAGTAAAAATAATATTAAAGAAATTTTAGTGATTGAAATAGAATATACTATGATTTGCTTAATATATAACCGTCTATATATGTTTTTAATTCTAACCTCCATCCTTGCTCTTAACTCTGCTTGGGGGGGGGGGGGGGGGGGTGGTTATCTAGTTTCAAATGTAACACTTGCCTCCTTTAGTTTAGATTTGAGTAACACCGACCTCTCCTTTCATAAAATCTGACATTTTTGTCTACTAATGTCATGTCCAATATTTACTTAAAACCTGAGAAAGCTTTCCTTAAAACTTTTATCCATTAGGAACATATATATTACATAAAAAATTAATAAAAGTATAATGGGCAATCATTTAACAAATTCGGGTCAAAGTCAGTAATAATAGAGGAGGTCAGTATTATATTTAAAATTAGAGAGAATGTCCATATTATTTTGACAATGTTAATTAACCCCAGCAAATCACTTTATTAACCGATTGACTTTCCTCTCTTCCTAACCATTCTGGTCCAAATAAAAATTCTTGATTAAACCCGTTTCATTAGGGCAAGGTGATTAATATACTAACATCCAATTTACGTATCAAGCTAGATAAATCAATAATGATAGAAGATGTTTAATTAATCACTGAGGAGTTCTCTAATTTTATCCTGTCTTGTAGCATTACGGTATTTCTTCACATTCCAAAGTAAAAGGTCGAGAGTTCAAGTCTTCGTAGGGACAAAAGTGAATGTGTAAATATATTTCTTGTCAATGAAAAATAAATATATTTATACACTCATAAAATCTTTGGTGTTTTTTTTTTTTTTTTTTTGGCAAAATTGTCCTGTAATTCCATGCAATGTATGATTATTTAAAACTTTAACAAATAGTGTACTTAGAAAAAGTAAAAGGAAGAAAGAGTTGAGCAACTATTTATCCACCATCTTTACATGCTCAATATCTGCCCTTTGTTTTTGTATTCCTTTATGTTTTTTCCAACCGTTCTCTTAGAATCCATCATCTTTTCATGCTCGATCCATTCGCTTCTTTTCATTTGTTTAACCAGTTTCTTTCCATGTTTAAGTCCTAGTGATCAGAGGATAGTATTTTTCAAGTAAAAAAATGCCCTAATTTTCAGTTTAAATACAAAGTGATTATCGTCCTTTTAGAGAAACCTAAATCTTCCATTTAGATGAAAAGGGTTGGTCCCACTTGGGTAACATATATTTATTTTTTGCGGAAATAAAAATTAAAACCATAATTGAATGAATGTAAATATATATATTGGCCCAGCCTAAGACTTAAACCGTCAACTTTTTGTTTTGGGAGGTTTAGGATATGCTTTAGTGGTAAACGGATTTACAATTCAAATGCGTAACGTTTAAGATGAAATAAAATTATTTAGGCCACGATTATATGTAGCCAACGTTTGGAATTAATTTTGGGATAAAAATGGCCTCATAAGTAATTGTTTTAAATAATTTATTTTACTTCAATTCTGAATTATTTTGGAAATGCTAGAAGAATAATAATAAGAATATTAAATCTGTTTTAAAATCATAGTAATAGATGCATTATATACCAAATACTATCCTTGTGAATCTACTCAAATTTAATTAGATATAACTAAGAACGGTATTGAATCCTCTAAGTTAAATATTCTCTAAGTTATCTTAAGTTGAAATTGACACGGAACATTTAAAATCTATCTACTGCTAGTGTTAAATTACGTTAACTAATTTAAAGTAAGTTTGAAAACTGCACAGTTTTGACATAAGAAAAATTTACCAAAATTTAAACCGTTTTGAGATAACAAAAATTTACCAAAATTTTAAAACTCTAATTAAGAAAAATTTACAATATTGTAACGACATTTAACATGTTATCTCTCCTTATCTTAAACAAGTCTCTTTGTTTCTCTTTTAACCTCACGGTCTCTCTCATATTTTCTATATATAGGGCTTTTGCTTATATTTTACTAACTCCATCAATATCCATGCTTATATATATATATATATATATATATATAATTTTCCAATCATTATTATTGCAGTAAAAGTTGCACGTCATGCAATCACATTTTCGTCCATCTTAATTCCTGTGCAAAGAATATTCATTTTTAACGCGAAACATTCTCCAATCTTGGGGAATGGCCCGAAATATTCCCCAATCTTGGAAATGAGCAAGAGGAGAGAGAGGGAGGATTTTTTTTGAAAAAGATGAGAGAGAGATAACGTTTTTAGAGACTTAGAGTATGGTGAGTTTTTCTTAATTCAAAATGGTGTAGTATATTTTTAAACTTTGATAAAATTTTCTTATCTCAAAATGGTATAATTTTCAAACTTTCTTTAAATTAGTTGACGTGGTTTAACACAAATACTAGATAGATTTTTAAATATCACGTGTCAAGCGGTAGGAAATTCAACTTAAAATAACTTAGAGAATATTTAACTTAAAGGATCAAAATTTGTATACAATCTATATATATAACCTCGATTTTTTATTTCACATTAGTAAATCAGTTCCCAACTTCCTATAGATAACACGTATATCTTCTTTTCATATTTATTTTTCAAGTGTCTATTTTTCAAGTGTGACACCATAATTAATTAGTCGAATTAGGCCCAAAATAGATTAAATTGTAAGCTGGAAAATTAGTTCAATAATTTATCGAATAAGCGTCCAAGTTAAACTCGGACCAATTAGGCCAAACCTGGCCCAATCAAAGTAGGTCTATTTCACAAAATGGCCTGCCATGCCTCACAAGGTGAGCCCGACTGGACTAGTGGCCTAATGGGCCTATGATTTGAAACAAGTGGACTGCTCCAACCCCGCCAGTTTTTTTTTTTATATATATAATATGAAATCATTAATTTAGAACTTAAAATTAAAATATTTGTTAATTTTGTTTTCTTAAATTTTATATTACTTTTATCATCAATGAATAATATATTTTAAATTGTATTGAATAGTTCTTCCAAAATAAATAAATAAATAATACAACTATCATGTTGTGTTTAGAATATTGAAATTAAAGACACTTCTACTCATTTATATGTTCTAACCATGTTTAATAAAAATTTAAATAAGACAATTTTTAATCGGTATCTGAATGTTCAATATCTTCACGACACTTACTTGTCGATGGACTTGGGAGCATGGGGGTCACTATTTATCTCAAATCTGCACCATAGAGAAAAATAGACTTCGAAATCATAAATCATGCAATTTCGCAACTTTGTATTTAAAAATTTAAGTATCGCAAAAAACAATATATAAACTGTAATACATATTTGTATACAAGTAAGTGAGAGGGAACAAAAGAGTGCCTCATACTGTAAGAAAAAAATATATAAAAAAAACACTTTGGAGGAATAAAAACAAAAAATAAAATATTAAAGTGTCACCTTACACAGCATATCTGGAGGAATAAAAACAAAAAATAATAAAAACAACATATGAAGGAATAAAAATAAAAATAAAACCACCCCTTCCTCAACACTATCGAAAGGACATATATATTCATAATTTGGGCTGTGATTTGTTTTAGGAGTTTCTTTTCAAATTTGTCGGACAATATTTGCCAGGCAATACTTAGGTCAACAATTTTCTTGCGTTGATCAATAACAAATGAACATATTATCTTTAATTATAAAATTTTAAAAAATTAAAAAATAATATTAGTAAATATGTATACTCTATCATTTTTAATTTAGTAATTAAAGATATATCCTTATCATTTTTTATTTGGTAATTAAATAGAATATATTCATTTGTTCAGAGTCCATTTTTATCGATGAAGACTTGAGTATTACCAGAGCTTAAATAATGAAATACAAAAAAACATATCATCTTGAATTACCAAATAAGAGACGGTAAATACGAACTTACCAAATAAAAAAAATATAGTGGTTTGATAAAAAAAAATATAGTGTTGTCGTTTAAGCTATCAATAACGTGAATAAAAAGGGATGAGGTAAAACCGGTTCCTCCAGAGCCGGTCGGTACCGGTTTGAGCCGATTGAGTGACTGGACCCGGTTTAACAGAGATATTTTTGGAACAGACACAACGATAATGAAAAAGAAAAACAAAAAGAAAAAAATGTTAAAATCCCAACAAAACCCAAAACCCTATTTCTTAAAACCTTTCTTCTATCTGTCTCTCATTTCTAACTCAACACAGAGTGAAGTCTTATCTGACCACTCCTCTTCATCACCCAAACTCCACAACCCTAATCTCTCTCTATCTCTACTATTTCTCTCTCTACACCTATCATTTCCATATACAATTTGAACATTTGGTCGATGACAACCCACTGATTGTGTCCTTGGTCGATTGACAATGCCGACGAAGCAGCGATGCCGAAAGAACCTCGATTCTCCTATTGAGACCGCAATTATGAAGAAGAGAAAGAAGAAGAAACTCAATGAAGCCATTTTTAGTACGGACCATATTCTGAAGAAGGTGTTCCGAAAAGATGGTCCTCCACTCGGTTTCGAGTTCGATTCTCTCCCTTCCCAGGCTTTTCTCCTTTGTCAAAAAGGTATTTGTGTATCTTTTTCATGTTTGCTTATGGAAATCAGATTTAATTGTTGTTTATATATGTGGTGACTATCATTGAATTCTAATTGATTTGAAGTTATCGTGGAAATGATTTAGCAACTTTGAACAGAACATTTTCGTGAGGATTTGTAGTGAAAAATTGAATTTTATGTATAAATAATTATTTATTACATTGGTATTTGCTCAGCCACCGTTAGTTCAAGTTTCTATGGAGTCTTCTTCGCCTATGTTGGACAGTATTCCATTTTGGAGCATGTTTTGATGGTGGAAAGAGCACGGGAAAAGTTAGGATCCTTTGGGTCACTTTACTCCGAACTGGATTGTGTGCGTGTGTGGGTGGACAGTGTACGGAAAAATTAGGATCCTTTAGGTCACTTACCTCCTAATTGGATTGTGTGTGTGTGTGTTTTTTTTTTTTTTTTTTTTTTTCACAGTAAATTGAGGAATCTCTGCTATAATAATAATTATTATTATTAAAATTTCAGTATATATTTGAAGTTCATTTATTTTGTTTTGTATTCGACACTTGTTACTAAAATGTCCTATCTTGCCAAATTTAACACATTTTATGATTTTATTCGTTGCGTTGTTTATAATATTTTGAGGATTATGGGGTTTTTATTTTATTTTATTTATTTATTTTTATAGGTTTTACATGTAATACATTTTGAGGTTTTAAGATTTTGTTTTGATTGTGGTGAGTTAAATTTTCTATATCCAAATTGTTCACATACTGTTCCTAATTCTTTTATAGTGGATAAATTTTCTCTTCTCAATTGTTCTTTAAGTTTGAGATCTGTGCAAATTTATTATCCTTCTGCATTGATTGTTATTACTAAATCTCCATATGTTATTTTATCATAAGGGATTTGACCGTCATATTGTTCTCTAAGTTTGGTTCTTACCTTTCACCAAATAAATTTGGGAGACCAGTTATAAATTTTGATTTCCAAAAGGCTTGGTTACAATCATCTTTTGTCATAACTTTTGTTAAAAATATATCCTTGTACCATCTATATTCACTAAGTTTTTTGCATCTTTAAGGTTGCTAATAATTCTGAAGTCATATCTCTTAATTTTGAAGGATCACCTATAAAATGTTTTGCAATTGAGAAAACTAGTTTGGCCACAGAATGTTTTTCATTTTCACCATCTTCATCTTAAATATATGTCCCATCAAAATTTAAAGTCCACTAGAATTGAAAATGAAATAACAAATATTCAAAAATCAATAGAAGAAAATATTTGTTCAGAACTTCCTAATGCTTTTTAGGAAAGAAAAAGACGTATGGTATTTTTACCATACTAAAGATTTTAACGTAATACCAACCAAAGCCGGACCAATTCAATTGAATCAGGAATTGTTACAACACTTGAAAAACAAGATTTAATTAAAAAAGGATTAATAAAAAAAGTACATCCCCATGGTCTTGATCTAATATTACAATTACAATAATCATAAACAACGAATATAAAATACAAACTATCACTCTACTAGACTCTGACGCTGATCTTAGCTGCATTCAAGAAGGATTGGCTCCCACAAAATACTTTGAAAAAACAAAAGAAAGGCTGCACACAACAAGTGATTCAAAATTAAACATCAAATATAAATTAACTAATGCAAATGTTTATAATCAAAGTATTATCATCATCATCACCACCTTCTAATCTTTGTTTCACATTGGTCGACCTCAAAAGGTTATTGGGTTCTACTTCTATCCTTGGAAAAATGGTTTTTGTTATGTTCTTGAAATGATGTTTTGTGCATGGATCAATAAATGAATAGTAGAAAACCTCTTCTTTCATCTGTGTGGGAATGGGAATGTCGTTAGACTTGTATTTAACCTGATCTGTTGATAAGAGGGGACTACTAGTAGAATACCACCAGCTGTCCGGCCTGAATGGTATTTCATGCCACCTAATAACAAATAAGGGGAGGTGTTACAAACCCAGTTTTTGGATATAGATTTTTTTTTTTTGGCAGTAAAAAAAATGGATTCAGTAGTTGAATCTGGATTTTAAGCTGCTTTGGGGTGTTGCCTTCAAGTATTGGACTACTGACTTTAGTACCATGTTTGATATCCTGTTTCACAGGAAGGATTGGATTTTGTATATAAATGGTTTTTCGCTTTATGCCGTATTCCTGTCTCACATGCATGATGCCTTTAGTGGTAGCACAGCTATTTATGGGACAAATTCGAGGAAGACAGATGTCTTTTTCTCTTACGCTATGATATAAAGAGGAGCAGGAGTTTCATTTCCTAACTTTGTCTGCAAGCTTATATCTAGATTGGTTTATTGGGTAACAACAAACGTGTGGACGATTATTCAGTACTTTTTTCTTTCAATTCACTGTCCCCAGTGAGATGAGAACTTCTTAAATTGCTTTATGTTATTGAAGGACTGTGGAAATCAATTTATATTATATATAACTTAAATTTTACTCTTTTGTTTTTGTAGCACGACCGGGTACTAGAAATCCTCATCGTGCTTGCCAAGAAAACCAAAGAGCACTCAAAGGAAGAAAGGATTCTAGAAATCCTCATCATGCTTGCCAAGAAAACCAAAGAGCACCCAAAGGGAGAAAGGTTCCTAGAAGTTCTCCTCCTGCTTGCCATGAAAATCAAAGTGCAGTCAAGAGGAGAAAGGTAATGGAACTAGATTTGTAGCTGGAAATCCCAAAATTTTGGCAAGATGTTTTTGTGTGAAGTGCCATCAATTATCACTCTCTTTTTTCAGTTCCAGTTATTTTTATTTTTTTCATACTTGTCTTCACATGTTTCTTTCTTAGGTTTCTGAGCCTAACATCTTGGACCACCAAGCTTGTAATAAGAGTGCTCCGGTAAAGAAACATGGTATTGGGAAAGGTATGATGACAGCTTTTAATAAGGGTGCTCCTGTAAAGAAGCATGGCATTGGGAAAGGTTTGATGACAGCTTTTAATAAGAGTGCTCCTGTAAAGAAACATGGTATTGGGAAAGGTTTGATGACAGTTTGGAGGGCAACGAATCCTGGTGCTGGAGATTTCCCTACTGGTGTTGACTTTACTGAGAGAGATTGCACTGGTGTTCTTCAAATGTCAACTTCTACATCACAAAAGCCACCTAAAAGGGGGAAAAAATCGCGGCAACAACGACCCGTAATGGTTATCCTCAAACTCTTATTCATATATATATATATATATATATATATTGGCCAAAAATGCTATTTTGCTGCCCTTGCGGTTATTTGAGCAAATGTATCTGCTTTGACCCTTCAATCAATTAATCATATTATTGCTTCCAGAAAGATGATAACAGTAATTCTTTCATATACAGAAAAGATTGGGAAACAAACAACAAAATAAGAGGAAGCCTCCCATAAGAAGCAAAAGGGTAATTATGTTATAGTTCTTATATCTATGAAGTTTAGACTAGCAGCTGTAGTAACTTAGATTCTTCATTATGATTTAAGGTGGAATGTAATATAATTGAGGAGCAGAGGCAGCCACGCAAGGAAAAATGTGAACTTTCTCTGGAAGGAGTGGGAAGTCAAGAAGACCTCGATCAATTTACAAAACTAGTGGATGATGAGGAGCTGGAGCTGAGAGAAATACAAGCAGGAACGAATCCATTAACTTGCTCTGCTCATTTCGCTACCAATGGATTGCACAGTTGTTCCCTTTGCAAAGGTTGGTTTTGATATTCTGTATTTTAAAAGAACTCTACTACTTTCTCTAAAGTATGTATGTTCTTTGTTGATGCATTTGCAAATACTAGAAGTCATCTTGTGAGGATTTTATTTTTATTATTATTATTTACTTCTTCCAGATTTGCTGGCCCAGTTTCCTCCAAATTCTGTCACGATGAAACGACCATTCTATATGCAACCATGGGAATCTTCTCCAGAGCTTGTCAAGAAACTGTTTAAGGTTCACAAAGCAAACACCATTCAATTTTTATTCCTTTTAGTGCTTCTGATTTCTGCAAATGCAAGATTTATCATACATGGATGATGGTGGTGAATTTTTGTTTCTCTTGCATTGAATTTCTCAATTTCTTTCTTTGGAAAACTCGTTTACAATGATTCCCACTTAGGTTATGCTTGACATACTGTTTCTTGTTCGATCATGTTGCCCATCAACTCAGTTTAATCCTACTAAGGCTTCTTTCGAGGGAAAACTCATCATGTGAATTGCATTTTTCATCTGATTTTTGTATAAAATATCCCATGAAATTATTGATTTCCTTATTGTGGATCTTTTTGTTTTATCACATGGTGTGACACAACCTATGTGCTTATAAGTATTTGGTTTGTATTCTCATGGCTCTTTGTTTTTGAAAAATTATTCAGTGTACTTATTGGATTAGATCTTCTATGTAAATCTATATTCTTAGCCATTGTTAATGATTCTGATGTGTTAATCTGGAAATAGAGGGATGAGTTGCTTTCTTGATAGATAAGTCTTAGGTATTTGATTTAAGAAGTGATGTGACCAAGGTTGAAGATCTATTTTTGGATGCAGAATGGTGATGATAAAGTTCTTATAATTAGGTGATTTAAGGGGGTTGATTTTACCAGGTTTTTAGATTAGAAAGGGTCAATTATATTTTACCAAAATTTTAGTGTCATTAATTTCTTTGTTTTTGTTTTAATTTTTTTTTAATATTATAAGAGGATCTGGTAGGGTTTTGTAGATTATATAATTTATATTTTTATCAAGATTGAATTTCTTATGAGAGAAGTTACTTGGGAGTATAGTAATATAAGATCAAGGAAAGTTAATTGGAGGTACTTTAGGCTCAGGTAATTAAATTTAGGAACCAAGAAAGCTTAGAAGCTTATATGTAGTGTGATAGGTGATTTAGGTGTAATTTTTGGACTCGGATCATATATCCTCATTTGAATGTCTTTTGTTTTTTTTCAAACGTCCCGTAACTTGTTGAATTCGAGCCTATCATGCTGGAAACTGGAGATTACTTGCTCAAAATCAATTATGCAAATTCACATCCTTGATAACTAACAAAATCCTTATCAAGAGGAATGTGATGAACTAACAAAATCCTAGCCTTGGATATCCTATTCCTTGAGAAAAAGAAAAAAACACATGAAAAGGAAGCATGTGAGAAGAAAAAGAGAAAGGTAGACAGAAGAAATGAAATGCTTGGCAATTAAATTCTAGAGGACAAGCATACTCTTTGTTTTGGCTTGGAATTGAAGGGAGCAAAGTGCAATTTTCTAGCACCAAGTTAAAAGGGATCACACAAGCGGTAGGCAAAACCTTAGTGGGATGAAATGAAAACTCTCTTAGTGGGTGGTTCCTTCCTATGTGCTTTGAGCAGCGTATATTCATGAAATGTCATTCCCTTCATCAAGGGGGTGATAGTGTTGATTACTTGATTACACACCGTCCATGAGTGAGGGCGCTTATGAGGCAAACGATGGTTCGCATCAAAATGAAGATCCGAATTATGAATTATTCCTGACCTAGCTGGATGTAAACTATGGATTATGGAGGAGGTATGTGAAGTTAAATGTCACAGATTGAAGAAAAGTGACCGTGCTTCACAAATTGCTAGTTACTAGTTGCTTAATCATCTTTATTTTCAGTGTTATTTATAGATTTTATTGAGCGTATTGGAACTTGAAATTCCATGCCTGATGAATTCGTGTTGCATCATATGTAGGGGACCTTTCATTTTTTCCCCAGATCACACACACACACACACAGTCACACACAAGAAATGATGGTGACCTTTTTTTTTTCTTTGAAATATTCTTAGCATTAAGGGTAAAAGTGGCAGAAATAAAGCAAATTTAAGCAGAGTGTCCACAAAATATCACCCCTTTTTGATCTTTTTTCTTTCTTTCTTGACAAGTAAAGTATATTAAAAAGCTCTCAAATGGGGAGTGTGCCCCTATATCATCTCCTTTTGATTTAAAAATTAACCATTGATGCAAACTCTGTGCTGTGCTCTTGTTTGACAATCAGTTGAAGCATGGGTTGAATATCATTTTATTGTCTAAATGTAGAAGCATTTAAACAAAATGTTATAGCAGAAAGATCTATTTCTTTCTTGTCTTATCTAGATAAAGTTCTTCATTAACAGATTGGGCTTACTCATAACGTAATGGATTGTGATGCCCTGTTGATGGTTCATCTCTAGTTTAAATGAAGAATGTCATTATCGATATACCTGGAATATTTTTATCTGAACTTAGTCTTCAATTGCTAAAATTGTCGGAGCTGAAAAGAGAACTGCTGCTTTTTACGGGAATTGATGTGGACTACTACCAACACAACTTCTATATAGCTCATGATTAACATAAGATCTATCATAAAGGTGCTGTAATATACTAATTTATCTGTACCAGAGTCGGTATGCTATTGTTTCAATATCGTTTGTCCATTCGAAGGTTTTAAGTTTTCTCTATTTATGATTTATTAGGACACTTTACCACAGATAAATGGTATGTCCCAATCAGTAAATAAGCTTTATAATGCTTAAGCATTTTTCTTTATTGCTGTACAGGTTTTTGCGTAGGATTCAATAGTGGTAGTGCGTTCTGCTCTTGATTGTGATTTTTATGTTATGTTGAATTGTCTTTCTCAGTATGTGCTGAATTATCTGGCAGGTCTTCCATTTCCTTTATACATATGCTGTTACGATTGATGTATGTTCCTTCACCCTGGATGACTTTACTCAAGCATTTCTTGACAAGGTTATTTCTCATTTCTTAAAGTTAATTTATAGTGTTTTCTACTTGGCTAGCTCAAAAATATGTAAGAGCTAGTTGCTGCCCTTTCATTTAAGTGGTAATAGATTGGCCATTGCTAATTATTCTTTCTTTGCTCATGGCTCTTAGGATTCATTATTACTTGGAAAAGTTAACATGGCCCTTCTCAAACTTCTTTTGTCTGATGTTGAAACGGAGCTTGGTAATGGATTTTTCCCTCATGCAAGCAAAAATTGCAAGTTCCTTGGGTTGCTTTGCTCAGTAAGTATAAGAAGTTATAGCCTTCAACAACAATTTGGTTGATGGTAGTGCATTTTATTCAAATTCTCTTGTCATGTTGCTGCAGTTTCTGAGGGCTTTAAGAATTTACTTCAGCATTTTAGTTGTTATCTTTTATATTAATTATTAAAATTTTGGTATCAGCAATACATTTAAACATTTGCACAAAATATTGATGCATATTAGTTGGGCCTGGCTTGAGTGAATTGTTGTGTTATCAATTGGTTTAAGTTTAATTTGAGTTAACAACAATGAAGACACTGTCATTCCACTTGGCTCTTTGACAAATGTATAAGAGTGCCTCTGGATGAAGAATTTCAATGTATTTGAGAAATTCTAAATAAAATGGATTTAAAAGCTGCATATTTGCAAAATGTGTTGCTAGGATAAATTAATGAATTCAAGGTGTATGTTGTTCGCTCTATGATCAAAAGGATACAATTCCAATTTTGTTGGTCAACATGAAAGTTCCTATTTTGTTTACCATGTTTTTTTGAGAAATGGTACCCATAATATTTTTTAATCCATCTTCATTCTTTAATATACCCAAAACCATTGATACCATTACATCTAATTTTTAGGAATTTGATTATAGGAAAAAATTTGAAATAAACAATATTAAAATAGGTTAGTGAATGTCATAATAGAAATGGTTATGGTGATGCAGTCGCTGGGTGTAGCACAGAGGTGACAGAGCAAATGTGGTTATTGGAATTGTGATCTTTTTCTTCCTTACAGCACCTCCAAGATATAGTGATCTTCATATTTTAACTACTGGATTACTAAATTTGGATTTTTATTAATTTTTAATGAATTATGTCGAATCTACAAGCGTGGTTTAATTTGGGTAATTTGGGTGATGTGTTTCTTTTTTCTTCTTTTTTTAAGTAAGATTTCATAAATGGCGCTCAAGAGGGGATCACTCCCACAAGAATACACTAAACACCATAGGCAACAGCTAAAGCTTTAAGCTAACCACTAAATCCAAAAGATCCCCCAAAGATTTACAATCACGCCCGTTAACCCCAAAAAAGAAGTATACAGTATACTGTATTTGAGAGACCAAACGGGAGTCTCCTCTTCCTCAAAGGATCTCTTAATTTTCTCATGCCACAAACCCCACCATAAACAAAGGGGAGTGGCCCTCCAAACATCCCTGGCTTGACTCTCCACTAGACATCCCTGGCTCGGCTATCCGTAGCAAGAAATGCTTAATAATATTAACTTTCACTACTTTTTGTGTGTGTGTACATATGAACATAGAGATGAAGTTACCAAAGTGAAAAGTATTTTCAAACAATATCACTGTCTTAATATCATATGAGTACAAATTAAAGGAGGGTAGACCTACTAAGAACTAGTTTGGGAACGTGGAAATTTGACTCACCATCAAGCTTTTGTCAGCCAAGTTCAAAAAGAGGAGATCTAGGTTAGAGTTGATAAATACGACCCAAGTTAATTAAGAGGAGATCTAGGTTAGACTTGACAAGTTATTTAAGAGGAGATCTAGGTTAGAGTTGATAAATATGACCAAGTTAATAAAAGAAAGAAAATTATAAAGGAAGGGTAGAATTACCATTAAACACAAAGTAGTTTGGAAAGCAAAAAATGACATCAAATTTTCGTTAGTTGACTTCAAAGGTGAGGTCTAGGTTAGAGTTGATAAACATTACCCAAGTTAATAAAATAAAGGAAAAAATATAAAGTGGGGTTGGAATTTACCATTAAATGGAATATCCAAGAGTCTTGATTAAGATTTGTTGTTAGTTTATTTTTTATTTTTTGATTAGTAAAATATCATTAAAAGTTGCTCGAAAGGGGAGTGCATGCCAATGACAACTATGCAAAAGAATACCACCTTATAACCTCATACAATCCAAAAACAAATTCCATAAACGCCTCTACAGTACGCATCCTCCCTGTAACCCAAAAAAGAAGATAGCTTAAAAGATGGCCTGTTTCTTTCATACCACAAACCCAGCATATACAGTAAGGACCAGACCTCCACGCGTCTCGAGCATGTCTCCCCATTGTCCATCCCCTCCAAGACGTACCCAAAGAAAGTCCAGATGTCCATGACAATTGGGCAATGCAAGAGAAGATAACTCACTGAATCCTCGTCCCTCTTACACCTCTTCCTCAAGTTGTCGAGCATCAAAATCCTTCCCAAAGCAATTTTCCACCCAAAGAAAGCCACCTTGAGGGAGTTTTTGTTCTCTAGATCGCTTTTCAAAACAGAATGCTACTGCTTCCTCACCCTAAGCATGATATAAATTGATCTCACCATAAATCCCCCAAGACTGGAACCCACCCAACTCCACTCATCATCCCCCTCCATAGCCACAACCTGTTGATAAAGCAAGCTGAAAAAAGCTAGCACTTCCTCCTTCTCACAGCAAGGTGTTTCTTTCTATCATTTGTTGTTGTTGTTGTTGTTTTGGGTCTTTAATCCATCCTTAGATTGTAGTTTGTCACAAGGTTAGAAAATACAAATCAGCCGATGTGATTACGCAATGTGGTTATGGGCCAATATAGCAATGAGAATAAATATCATGGCCATATTCGCTAGTCTGGTCACTGGTGCCTAACTGTTTTTCTTGTTAGTAAGAAGGCTACATTGGCCATTCTGGCCTGTTAGAACCTCTTAGTTTATCACTACATGTGAATCTGGAGTCTGGTGCCAGTACTGTTTTTCCGGTTCGTGGCAATGCTACACCTAGCCATACCGGCCTATTAGAACCTCTTAGTCTATTACTACATGTGAATCTGGTGGGTATTCCAAATCATGTCAAAGCCATATATGCAGAAGTATGACGGTATGACATCTTATGTTGTTTTTTTGTATATGCGTGTGATTTCTGTTTTTGATTCTGAATGGTCATGAGAAGTAACGGATATTCCAAATCATGTCAAAGCCATATATGCGGAAGTATGACATCTCATGTTATTGAATTGTAGCATCGATGGATATGATTGTTTTTGGATATGTGTGCGATTTCTGTTTTTTGATTCTGAATGGTCATGAGAAGTTATAAAAATGATGTCAATCAGGGAAATAGAAATAATAAGTAGGTAAATAATAGATGGGATTTCATGCCAAATCAACTTGAGAGTCAATACAAGTTGTGCAGACCACTTTGGCTCGTCCTTTGTCGGATCATGTTCCTTTGATGTTGGATTGTGGTGGGCTGCGAAGTAGAAAGTCCCCTTTCAGATTGGAAAATATGTGGCTTCGGGCTGAGGGTTTTTTGGAGTGGGTCCGATCTTGGTTGTTGCCCCGGGGGGGGGGGGGGGGGGGGGGGGGGGGGTGCGGGGGTGCGGTAATCTGGCTTGGAGGAAGAATCGGTTACTTTCTGAAATTGCTGAAATTGATAGGATGGAGGGTCAGGGTCTTTTGCTTGTTCCCTTGAAGCTTAGGAGAGTGTAGTGTCAGGCAGAGTTTGCTGAGATCGCTGTTATGGAGGAGATTTCGTGGAGGCAAAAATCTAGAGTTTTGTGGCTCAAGGAAGGCGACAATAATACAAAATTGTTTCATAAATTTGCCAATGCTTATAGAAGGGGCAATCATATTGGGAGGATTCGGGTGGATGGGGAGTTGTTTTGTAAGGAGGAGGAGATTTGTAAGGGTTTTGCTGATTTCTTTTTGAGTTTGTTCACTGAATCAGCTGGTTGGCGTCCTTTGCTTGCAGGACTTCACTTTGACTCTATTTCGAGTGAGGAGTGCTCTGTTTTGGAAGAGCCCTTTTCGGAAGAGGAAGTTTTGGCTGCTTTGAAGAGTTGTAACGGGGATAAAGCCCTAGGGCCTGATGGTTTTTCTATGAGATTCCTTTTGGAGTGTTGGGAGGTGGTCCGTGAGGAGGTGATGGGTTCTTTTCATGCTTTCTATGATTAGGGTTCTTTTGAGAAGAGTTTGAATGCCACCTTTATTGCTCTTATTCCGAAGAAGGGAGGGGCGATGGATGTTCGGGATTTTCGCCCTATTAGTTTGGTGGGATGTTTTTATAAGTTGGTTGCTAAAGTCTTAGCTTCCAGGTTGAGAAAGGTTTTGGATGGCGTCATCTTTGATTCTCAGAATGCCTTTGTGGGAGGTAGACAGATTTTGGATTCAGTCCTTATTGTGAGCGAATGTGTGGACTTCCGTTTGAGTAGTGGGGTTCCGGGCGTTTTATGCAAGCTGGATATTGAGAAAGCGTATGATCATGTGAGTTGGAGCTTCCTCTTCTACTTGTTGGAGAGAATAGGTTTTGGTGGGCGTTGGAGGAGATGGATTCTATTTTGCATTTCTAGTGTTTTGTTCTCTGTCCTCGTGAATGGGGCTTCGCTCGGTTTTTTCTCTAATTCGAGGAGCTTGAGACAAGGGGATCCGCTCTCTCCTTTCTTGTTCCTTTTTGTAATGGAGGCTCTTAGCAGATTGATGAAGAGGGCTGTGGAGTTGGGTTTTTTGGGAGGTTTCCTGGTGGGCAGGGATGTTGCTAGTCAGCTGGAGATCTCCCACTTGATGTTTGCTGATGACACTTTGGTGCTTTGTGATGCTGATGCGTCCCAACTGAGATATTTGAGATGTGTTTTGATTTGTTTCCAAGTTGTTTCTGGCCTCAAGGTGAATGTCGGTAAGAGTGTTCTTGTGCCTGTTGGGAATGTTCCTGAGATTGAGATGTTTGCTTAGATTCTTGGCTGTCGCACTGGTTCTTTTCCTATTTCCTACTTAGGGTTGCCTTTAGTAGCCTCTTCGAGATGTGTGGGGAGGTGGGATCCTGTTGTGGATAGATTTGAAAGCAGGTTGGCGGGGTGGAAAAAGCAGTACCTCTCAAAGGGGGGCAGGGTCACGTTGATTAGGAGCACCCTTTCTAGCCTCCCCACTTATTTTATATCCCTCTTTCAGATTCCTTCTTCGGTGTTGGGGGGGGGGGGGGTTCGGTGGGATCAAGTGTGTCGTCCGATTCGGAATGGAGGTTTAGGGTTAAGGAGGTCGTTGCCTTTTAATAAGGCTCTTCTTGGAAAATGGCTATGGAGGTTTGGGAATGAGAGACATTAGCTATGGAGGAGAGTTATCGCGAGTAAGTTTGGGGAGAACAGTGGTGGTTGGAGCTCTCTTGAGGTGTGTGGTCCTTAGGGGGTGGGGGTTTGGACTCTCATTCGGAGGGGGTGGGATGTTTTTTGTAGGCATGTTCGTTTTCGGATCAACGATGGTAGGAGGATTAGATTTTGGGAGGATCTTTGGTGCGGGGAGCTTCCCCTTGCTCTTGCTTTCCCTCGGCTTTATAGGATTACTTCTCACAGACATGCCATGGTGGTTGACTGTTATCACTTCGATAACGGGTTATTGACTTGGGATGTTCAGTTTAGAAGACACTTTCAGGACTAGGAGATTGAGGAGGTTTCTCGTTTTTTGGAGATTTTGTATCGCCAGGTGATCACAGTTGGGGATTCGGATGGTTGGCTTTGGGTTCCTAACTCTCAGGGTTGTTTTGAGGTTAGGTCATTTTTTAGGTGCCTTTCGGTTTGTGATGGAGGCCCTTTCCCCTAGAAGTCTATTTGGCGATCTAAGGCTCCCCTTAAGGTTGCCTTTTTTGCGTGGACTTCTGTCCTGTGCAAGGTTTTAACGCAGGATAATTGGAGAAGGAGGAATCAGGTGGTGGTCAATCGTTGTTATCTATGCTTGTGTGATGAGGAGATAGTTGATCACCTTCTTTTACATTACAGCATGGCCAGAGACTGTTGGGATTTGATGCTTGGTTTATTTGGGATCCATTGGGTTATGTCTCGTTCTTCTAGAGGATTGATAGAGGCTTGGAGAGGCGTTTCAGTTGGGGCTCTCGTGCAGGATGCTTGGAGGGCGACGCCTCTTTGTCTTTGGTGGTGCATTTGGCTTGAGAGAAATCGGAGATATTTTGAGGGAAAGGAGAAACCTGTTTCTATGCTTAAGTTCTCTATTATTTTCACTCTTTTTTGTTGGGTTTAAGGGAGAGACTATAGATCTTTAGAGGAGATTTTTGTTTTTTTGGGCCTCTTTGAAGGTTTGGGGCGCCTTTGGCCCTTTTGTTTCCTTTGGGTTCCGCTCCCCTTTTGAGCATTTTCAATAAAATCTTACTTATAAAAAAAAAAAAAAAAAAAAAAAAAAAAAAAAAAGGTCAATACAAGGGTTAATAACCTAAATAATTATGTTTTTATATGTCATTATATTCACTGAAAATTATTGAAGAATTAATATGTGACAATTAGGGTCAGAATGTGTGTATTTTTGCAGGAACTAATGAAATTCCTTTCCCATTGCCGTATTCCTTATTGAATGAACATATACAAAATAATGAAATGAAAAGGACACAACTATCTTTTTACCGAACTCATCTTCATTTTTTTTTTTGATCTTTTTTTTCGTAAATATATATTTATGTTTCTTTCTTGTTCATGAATTGACAGATTGAGCATCAAGAGTTTGTTGTGGAGTGCTGGAAGAAATCACTAAACCCCCTGACTTGGACAGAAATATTGCATCAAGTATTTGTTGCTGCTGGTTTTGGTTCAAAACATGGTACATTGCGGAGGGAATCTCTTAATACGGTATTCAAAATTTAAACATTTATTCATTAAATTAGCGTCATCTATTTTATTGCTTTTTGGTAAAGGTATAACCTACCCCCTCCTCTCCCAACATTTCTTCCAAGTGACGAACATGCTAAGAAGCATATGTATTTTTTGAAAGGTGACTAAGCACACACTTTTTGGCACATGGTTGACACATCTCGGCCTATTCCATAATACGAACTTGGGATATTCAAGTTCCGAATTAAAAAATCTTCCTGCACTTGTTGGACACTGCATAACTCTTGACAGACACACACCTTGGACATTGTGAAGAATTCTCTTTAGTTGTTTAGGAAAAATGTAACCATAAAAAAAGTTTATTCAAATTTACAAAAAGTTTGACCAAAAAACAAAACTAATATACATGAAGATTTTAATCATAGTGATGGTGCGAGGAGGAAAGGAGTTTGTATAATTATATCTAGACACACACTAAAACTTCGACCCTTTTAGAGGTTAATCCATGGACAAAGTTCTAGCCATTTTCTCAGAAAAATTGACCCTGCTTTCTGTAATGCAGCTTGAGTTCATTCTACTGTGTCCTACTTTAAAATTTTACTACTTTGACTTGTTTGTATCTTGTATCATCTTCTTATCCATGCAATAAGAGACGAGGCAATTTGGTAATCTCATTTTAGTCATTCTTTGGACCTTCGTAGCAAGGTTGTTGTTATGTTTGAGTTTTAGTTTACTGCAAACTCATTAGGTTAGTATGCTACTGACAGTTGTTATTTAAGTTTGCAAAAGTCCTTTTAAGTTGATGTTTCTTCGGTTGTGTTTTTCAGGAAGCCAATCGTATGGTAAAGTTTGGCTTAAGTCCTGGTAGTTTGAAGGGTGAATTGTTTGGTATCTTGTTAGAGAAAGGAAATAGTGGGTTGAAAGTTTCCGAGTTGGCGAAGTTTTCACAGGTAAGTTATTATAGTATGAAGTTCATTTCTTTAAGAGGAAGGATATGACTTGTTTGCTTTTATCATTATCATCATCATCTGGTTGAATTTGATCAAATATTGTAATTCCAATTCTTTTAGTGACATGTGCTTGTTTTGTGATGAAGATTGTTGAATTAAATCCTGCTGCTACAGCAGATGAACTAGAATTTTTAATAAGCTCGACACTTTCAAGTGACATTACCTTATTCGAGAAGATATCATCCTCCGCATATCGTGTACGTTTTAATTCTATCATAGAGGAAGCTGAAAATTTTCAATCAGATTCCGAGGACTTTGGAAGCATTGCCGATGAATCTAGGGACAGCGGTCAATACAGCAGTGCTGATGATTCTGAGTGTGATTCCGGAGCTTCCAGTCCGGCTAAACTTAAGCGAAGCAGCCGTTCTATAAGTGGGAATAACATGTTGAAAGTATATACTGAAATCGATGAGAGCTATCCTGGGGAAGTATGGTTGTTAGGGCTGATGGAAGGTGAATATTCAGATTTAAGTATTGAAGAGAAGTTGAATGCCTTAGTGGCTTTGGTTGATCTTGTTAGCGCTGGGTCCAGTATCAGAATGGAGGTAATCCATTTATTTCTTTTTCTTGTTATTAATTTAAAAGCCTTGCCTGTTTCTTTGGGTACAATTAGGTTTTTTGTTTATTAAAGTGCTCCTTCTGTGTAATTATCTCAAGTTGCTATTGTGACTGAGTTATCATTCTAGCTGTCGGATTTGTCCCACACCTTTTTGTCAAGCTTTAATGATTATATTCGTGTTGTATCTGTTATAGAAGCAAGCTTTTTGAACATTAATTTTCTCCCCCAAATTATGTTCTCTAGATTGACGAAAGACGTTATCTTTGTTGTATGCTTTGCCTAAAAACTTTCATGTCTTATTTTGAATGCCAAAGTGACTGTATTTCAACTTCAAAAAAAGCTTTGAACTTCAGCTATTAGCTACCTGCCATCAACTTATTGTCTTCTTTATGTCATTGTTTGTGGGGGTCCATCATTTTGGTTTCCATTTAAGCTAGAAGTTATAGACTGTTCTCTCTTTCCTACCCTCCTCTCGCGGTCCCTGCATTTGCTTTTGAGCTTTTGTTTTAATTTTATCACGGGCAACGAGGATCTTCTTTCATGCCATACTTGCAACCTAAAAGTTGCTCATCTTTCGGGAGCTTACTGAGGAAATTGTGGTACTTTTGTTAGAAGTCCATTAAATTTGGGATACATCAATTTGCACATTTTGTGACCCTCACTTGCAAGTATATTATGAAGAAAGCTAGGTTAAACTGAATGCTAGTCCAAACTTCTATATCAAGTGAAGAGGGTTTTCCTAGGAAGCACGGACACGCTTAAAAGGGCAAAGAATCCGTGTAAGACACGTGTCGGGACACCGACACACACCAGACATGCCAAAAAATGTATTCGAATATTTTATATTTTCTTGAATATCTGGGCACGTGTCCAACACGACATGGATACATGTCCGACACGCGAGTCCCATTCTTGGGGATTTTTAAGAAAGTTTTAGTAACAATGATGAGTTGAAGTATAAATATTGGGAGTTGTTTAATAACTTTCAGCAATATGATGGTAATTACATAATTAATTAAAAGTAGTTGTTTTATAAAACAATTTTATATTAAAACAATTATATATTATCCTTATATTTTAGTTCAAGGTTTGAACTCTTGCAGAATCATCTTTGACTCTCTTGTTCTCCCACCACCCAAGCTTCGCTACCGGTGGATGGTCTTTCTCTTTTCTCTCTTCTTCTTCGTCCTCCTCTTTTCTTTCTTCTTCTTGTTCTTCACAGATCCTAGATACTTCTTTTTTTCCTTTCACAATAAATTTCTTTTTGCATTTCTTTTTCCTCTATTCCCCATGAACGCTTTTCTCTTCTATGGATTCTTACCTTTATTTTTAACTAAGGCCTAATTCTTATTCTAACAAAACCCAAATCCTTTTTTTTTTTTTTTTTTTTCCTATGGATTCTTACCTTTATTTTTAACTAAGGCCTAATTCTTATTCTAACAAAACCCCAATCCTTTTTTTTTTTCCTAGCATTCTTTCTCTTTTTCCCAGCAAAACACAATTTTTTTTCATTATGAGGATGTAAAAACTAATATTACTCTTAATTTCATAAAGTACAACATCATATATATATATATATATATATATTTATTTATTATTTACTGTGTCCCTGCCGTGTCTGTGTCCTAATTTTTCTGGATTTGCCGTATCGCCGTATCCGTTTCCGTGCTTCTTAGGGGTTTACTATGGTTATGAAATTTAGGTGGGAGGGTTTTTGAAAAACTTGAAACTAATCCTGTTCTCATAGTTCCAACAAAACTGAAACCTGTCCAATCTAATCAACTCGCCAAATCATTCCCTTTTTTTTTTTTTTTTTTTTTTTGAGAAGTAAAATTGTATAAAAGCACTCAAAAGGGGAGTGCATCCCAAGAGAACTACACAAGGCCAAATAGGGCCTCTAGACATTCAAGGAGCCCAAAAAATTGACCACCTCCTCTAAAGATCTATAATATCTCTCTACAACCTAACAAAAAAAAGTAGAAATAAGAGAGAACTTAAGCATAGAAATAGGAGTCACCTTTCCTTCAAAAGATCTCTTGTTCCTCTTGAGCCAAATACACCACCAAACACACAAAGGCGTATAACCCTCCAAACATCCTGGACTTGGGCCCCATTATACAACCTCTCCAAGTCTCAATCAACCCTTTGGAGGATTTAGGCATGACCCACATGACTCCAAACAAACCAAGCATCGAATCCCAACAATCTCTAGCTATGGTGCAATGCAAAAGGAGGTGATCCACCGTCTCCTTATCACAAGACACATGCAACAACAGTTGACCACAACCTGATTCCTTCTCCTCAAATTATCCTGGGTCAAAATCTTCCCCAAAACAGATGTCCAAGCAAAGAAGGCCACCTTAAGGGGAGCCCTAGATCGCCAAACAGTCTTCCACTGGAAAGAAGCCCCAGACTCCTCCGGAAGACACCTATAGAAGGACCGAATATCAAACCGACCCTGAGAAGCAGGGGCCAAACCAAACAATCAGAAACACCACCCGTGATTTCCTGACGATACAACATCTCTAAGAAACCAATGGCATCCTCAATTTCCCAATCCTGAAAATGCCTCTTGAAACGAACATCCCAAGACGATCTCCCGTTATCAAGCCGATAACAGTCAACCAACATGGCTTGCCTATCCATGGCAATCCTGAAGAGTCGGGGGAAAGCGCAAGAGAGCGGTCACCACACCAAACGACCTCCCAGAAACCGATCCTCCTACCATTCTTGAGTCGAAATCTAATGTGTTTAGAGAATCCATCCCACCCTTTCTGAATGAGTTTCCAAACCCCCACACCCCTGGAAAACATCCTTCAAGAGAACACCATCCTCCTCTCCCTTCCCCAAATCTACTCTCTACCGCCCTCCTCCAAAGCCTATGCCTCTCCACCCCAAACCTCCAAAGCCACTTCCAAGAAGAGTCTTATTAAAAGGCACCAATCTTCTAAAACCTAAACCTCCATCTCGGATTGGACTGCAAACCTGCTTCAAGCGAACCAGATGATGCTTGAAACCCCCCCCCCTGAAAATTTCGCTGCAATCTCTTAATTCTCTCAGCCACAGAAGAGGGAATCTGGAATAGAGAGAGAAAATAAGTGGGGAGGCTTGAAAGGGTGCTCTTAATCAAAGTGACCCTTCCTCCCTTGGAAAGGTACTGCATCTTCCATCTTGTTTGTCTCCTCTCGAATCTTTCCACAATAGGATCCCAGCAGCCCACACACCTCGAGGATGATCCAAGGGGTAGACCCAAGTAAGAAGTGGGAAAGGAGCCAACACAACATCCAAGGATATCAGCAAACGACGCAATCTCAGGGACCTCCCCAACTGGTACCAAAACGCTCTTCCCCACATTCACCTTCAAATCGGAGACAACTTGGAACCAAATCAAAACACATCTCAAATATCTCAGCTGGGACACATCTGCATCACAAAACACAAGAGTATCATCTGCGAGCATCATGTGAGAGATCTCCAATTGACTAACAGCATCCCTACCCACCCTAAAGCCTCTCAGAAAACCCAAATCCACAGCTCTCCTCATCGATCTACTGAGAGACTCCATCAAAATAAGGAACAAAAAAGGCGAAAGCGGACCCCCCCATCTCAAACCTCTCGAACTAGAGAAAATCTTGTCGGGGCACCATTCACAAGTATAGAGAATCGAGCACTAGAAAGTAGAAATAGAAATACAAAACTGAATCCATCTCCTCCATCTGAACGGATCTGATCTGAACGGTTCATTTGGTTGGGCTGGTATACCATTAGGTTTGTAAAATAATTCTAGTTTTAGATGTGTTTAACTCTCACATTTGGTTGCTATATTGGAGAATACAATATCTCAATTCTTCAGTTTATAATTGAATGCATAATGTTCTAGATCTGTTTTATAGGTTTACATTGACAAATGTGTCAAATTTTGTTTACAGGATCCGGTAACAACAATTGCAGAAAGTGTTCCCAATGTCAATTATGTTGGTTCTGGTGCAAAAATAAAGAGATCATCAATAAACCAACAGAACTTAAACAAGCCATTTGGAGGTCTGAATGGACAAGTGCTTGGTGTAAAAGAACTAAATACAACATCAGTTCTTCCCCCTGTTGATTCTTTAGCATCTATCTCAAAGACCCATGTGAAGGAGAAATCCTCTTGCAAAAGAAAGGATGCAAAAGAAATGGAAGCTGAGGATGATGTTCATCCTATGCAATCAATCTTTTTGGGCTCTGATCGTAGGTACAATAGATACTGGCTTTTCTTGGGCCCTTGTGAGGATTTTGATCCTGGGCACAGAAGGATTTATTTTGAGTCTTCTGAAGATGGTCATTGGGAGATTATTGATAGTGAAGAGGTGATTCTGATTCTCTTTTATGTTCTGAAATGTCAATTATTTCTGATTTTCTCTCTTGTTTGTTGTGAAATCTTTATTGTCCTTCTGTGCAGTGAATTTTGACTGTTTTAAATTTACCTGTTTGCACTTTCTCTTGTTGCAGGCTTTGAGTACCTTGTTGTCAGCTTTGGACTGTAGGGGCACACGAGAGGCTTTCCTTCTTGCATCTTTGGAGAAACGAGAAGCATTTCTCTGCCGTGCAATGTGCAGCATGCTGAATGATGCTGGAATTAGGCAACTGACGCTATCTGATCAATCTGAGCTGAATATGTCCAGAGAAAACAGTTCTTCACCAGTGTCTGATGTAGACAACAATCTTTGCATGACTGAATTAAGGAAAGATTTTCCAGCTTCTTCTGGTGCCATTGTTCTTGAAACTGGGAAGAAACGAGAACAGGAAAAGCAGAAATGGAGTCGCATTCAAGCGTTTGACACCTGGATATGGAATTCTTTTTATTCCAATCTTAATGCTGTTAAATATAGCAAAAGGTCTTCTCTTGATTCACTTAATAGATGTGAATGTTGTCATGATTTGTATTGGAGAGATGAGAGGCACTGTAAGACTTGCCATATGACATTTGAGCTGGATTTTGATCTGGAAGAAAGATATACAATTCATACTGCTACATGTAAGGACAATGGACACACTGATGCATTTCCGAAGCATAAAGTTCTATCATCACAGTTGCAATCTCTCAAAGCTGCAATTCATGCAATTGAGGTGGGCTCTCTCGTCTAAAGCTTTATATTCACTGCTGCATTACACACTCACACGTGCCCATACTGTGTTGTATGTCATACATTTCTTTCTTATCCTGTTTGAAAACACTTGAGTAACCCTTCGTTTGACCTTGCTCCAAAAGTCTTACTAGCCTGATCTTGGTATTTTTAAGATCTGGGTTGCACACACTGTTGCAACATCAATCCATGGGTAAAAAACCGAATTTACCAGCTCAATGCTCCTTCGTTTTTTTATGTACGAGTGTTATGAGAAATATCTAATAGGTCTTCTAGGCAGGCGTAGAAACACATTATATTTCACCCTGTTCACAATTGTCAGCATAATCATCATCCTTGTCTTTTATTTTTACACTATTGGTTTCAAATATTATGCTATCATATAACAATATATTATATATACTAATGTAGTGCATTGTTTGTAGAAAATTGTAAGCGCAAGTGTTAACTTTTGAAAATGAGCAATTGTGTTGGTTTCTAGTATATCGTGTGATTTTATATGAGTCACATGATTAGGGCTTCAAACGAAGAATAGCTAAAGTAAGTGCCTTGAGGATCCTTGATGAACAATGATGGCCATATATATTTTCTGGTTAGGTTGGATCACTTGATAGTGTATCACCCCAACAATCATCACCATATTATGCCATCACCCAAAAATACGACTTGGAATGCATGTTCCAAACATGATACATTTTATTCCAAATACTAATTTTAGTCCCAAAATTTTTCACCATCTTTTTTTTCCGTAGCTGTCTTTTTTTTATCTGAAACATAAACGAATAATGAATTGAAATATAATATAGCTTTATATGTGATGATTGAGGGAAGAGCCACAACATTTGTATCAATAGCTTCGTTGTGAGGTTTTATTCGAAAAACAGAAAAAGAAGGCTTAACTGATATACTAACTTAAACTATGTCGTTACATTTTTATTTCTATAAACAAATATCTAATGGTAGATAGCTTCAACATTTTAGGAACATTTTGGTTCCATAAATCATCTAACGTATTTTTTTAATTCCTTAAAAAAGAAAAGACTGTTACATTAAATAATGCTTCAATGCATTCCTAGGATATGCTTTGTTTAATTTTACCCAGTCAGTACCACATTTTTAGAGTACATGGTAAACAGTGTCCTTCAATGCATATCATCTTCCGTGTAACGTTGGGCGGAAGGGCTTGGATAATCGAAGTAGATTGTTCCTACTTGAGTGGGATGCTGAGAAGTGAATGGTTAAAATGCTTGCTAATCATGGTTAGCTTAATTGAGGATTCGGAGACTTATTGGTCGAAAGACAAGAAAGCATGGAACATAGAAATGAATGCACCAGGCTCCCGCCATTGCGGGCTCTGGGAAGGGTTAGGTGTATTTATCCTTACCTCTTCATGCAGAGTGCTGTTTCCTTGATTTGAACTTGTGACCTCCCAAGTCATAATGGAGCACCTTTACTGTCGCGCCAAGGCCCACCCTCAAAAATTACCACTAGGAGACCAGATGGCAAAAAAAGTTGAGAAAAGATGAAAAAGAAGATGAGATCAATCCCATCTCCTCTCCTCTTTCCCCCTCCATTGACATATAAGGTTATTAGCAATAAAATACGGTTCTACTCTTGCTTAATTAGAGCTAGAAAAGGTTTTTAGTAAAAAAACGGTTTAGTTAATTGTAAAAGAGTCGAGGCAGGATAAAAATGGAAACAACTGAATAGCTGACAATTGAATGGAAATTTTGGTCATTAAGAGGGATTTGTAGCCGATCACAAATAGTTGAGAGAATACTTAGTTGAGTTTGGCTTCAGTTTATTAGTGCACAAGATATGTATAATATGATTGTTTTAATTCAACAACTTTTTGGGGAGGCCTTCTTATTACTCATTTTCTTGGGAGTCTGACAATTTAATGGAGTATCTATATCCAGGCTTTGTATCAGTGCACAAGATATGGCTGACTAAAGTTCAACTTTAGTTTAGTAGTACACAAAATATACAACTGATTTATTACTTCAACACTTCTTCTTGGGCCTTCTCAATGATTTATTTTCTTGGGATTTTTTTTAGAACGTGGGCAATAAATGATGTTTTCTTTTATCTCTACTTTATGTGCAGTCAGTTATGCCTGAAGATGCCTTGGTAGGGGTTTGGACGAAATCTGCTCATAAGCTGTGGATCAGACGGCTGAGACGGACCTCGACTTTGGCGGAGTTTCTACAGGTCTTATATTGTTAAATTTTCCATTACGTGTTTGATTAATGTTTTTTTAAAGTAGGAACAATTTTCTGATTCATGTAATTAGTTCTTGGAAATCTGTCCTCAAGAGAGTGCAATACACCCCCCAAAAAAAAAAAAAAAAATGCAAAAAATACCTCTGCTATTTAGTGTGAATATAAATCCCTAACATTTGAAAATATGTGCAAATTGCACCCTAATATCTGTTGACCTTTTTGTAAAAACCCCAAAATACCCTTAACAACTGAAATTAGTGTTTATTTTTATTGTCTAAAAGACATTTTAGGTATTTCAGTTTTCAAATTGACAAAATGTCCTTGCTCGATTCATGTAATTAGTTCTTGGAAATCTGTCCTCAAGAGTGTACTAATTTTCTAAAGCATAAAGCGCAATACAAACCCCCCCCCCCCCCCCCCCCCCCCAAAAAAAAAAAACCAAAAATAAATAAATAAATAAAAAGTGCAAAAAATACCTCTGCTATTTAGTGTGAATATAAATCCCTAACATTTGAAAATATGTGCAGATGGGGGGAGTAGTATTTGCACTTTCTGTATATAACAGGATTTTATTTGCACTTTACCCTTATCTAAATTGCAGTTTTTATTTATATGCAATCTGTATATTTTTCAGGTTTTTATTTGCACTTTACCCTTATCTAAATTGCAGTTTTTATTTATATGCAATCTGTATATTTTTCAGGTTCTTGCTGATTTTGTTGGTGCCATCAATGGAGACTGGTTGTCGCAGTGCAATGTTGGTGTGGGAGCCGATTCTGCATTGGAAGAAACCGTTTCTAGTTTTTCTTCATTGCCCCGAACTTCATCTGCAGTTGCACTCTGGTTGGTAAAATTAGATGCATTGATTGCTCCTCATTTGGAAAGGGTTCATTCTAAAAGGAAACCGGAAACACGCACAAGATCCGAAGGTATGTCTTTTCCTCCTTTCAAATTTCCACATTGTCATTGTCTTAGTTTCATGAGTGACGCTTTATTTTGACCATATTCAGCCTGTGTTGGTAACTCGTCTCGTTATTGCTATAATCTTGGAAACTAATCTGGCAATCACATAGCAGCTGGTTCCTACATAATAGTTTTAGGAAACTGCTTCCTCTTTCTTTCATTTTAATTTTTCGGATGATGGATAAATGTTATTCTGTTCGCACATTTCCATATCTTAGTTGAATGAAAACTGCGGGGTAGATCACCTTTCAACCAGGGACGGACCCAGAAAATTATATTGAGAGAGAGCCGGGGGGGGGGGGTTGAAAAAGAACAAATTAGTAAGGTATATTAGTAAAAAAAAAAAATTCAAGGTGGGGATTGCCCCCCCTCATCTGTATGTAGGTCCGTGCCTGCTTTCAACCTTCTGTTATGGAGAAAGCAATTTTGTGACAATATTCATACTTTTTCTACCTATGTGTTTTCTTGAAACTTGCACGGTTAATTTATCTGCTGTGATATGGGAGAAGCACTACCCCCTCTGAACCAAATTGATTCTATGTTAAAGATGAAAAGAAATGAGGGTAAAAAAAAAACCACCTGAAGAGAATGATATGGAATATATGAAGTTGTGGGGAACAAGCTGTGGAACATTCCTCCGTGTATTTGATTGTAATTTGCCAGACTGCTTTAGCTACATGCCATGCTGATCCACCAGAAAAAAATAAGATGACATGTAGAAGTATATTTATGATTAAATTTTAGGTACGTAGAAATATGTTTGCTGCATGGGAAAATGAAACACCCTTGAGTTCCCTTAATATTTTGCCACCTTAATGACGTGCGTAGGTTTTTCTTTCCTAGAACTGCATTTACTCATTGCATCCTGTTTGTTTCTGTTACTGGTTCTGGCGGAGCTAACACTCTCGTGTGTGAAAATAAAAATGTTCATTCACTTCTCAGGTATGCGAGCTAATCAATAGACTACCATTTTTGCTCTGGGAGAGTGAACAAGAAGTAGCACATCACATTTTTGTTCAAAGTACCGCACACCCTTCATCTTCACTCCGTCATCAGAATCATGACTTGCTAATCAATCAAGCAATTGCAATCTTTCTTGGATTCCTATTACAAAAAATCATCCCCATTATAGTTGGCTCCTCAACGGAGAGGACAAAAGGTCAAATCCGAAGATTGTACAACTGTGATTTTGACTCTTCCCATTTGTTACAATTTCCTCTTCGTAAGTCAATTTGATTAATTAGTTGATGTACAGCAATAGATAGGGTTTTACAGAATATGTAGTATGGTATTGTTCGCCGGTGCTCGCCTCGCTCTTGCAGAGTCATTTGTAAGTAGAAAAGAATGCTACAGTCTCTTTGATGGCAGAGAAATAAAATTTTGTTGTGGTTAGTGATGTTTGCACACATTTTACATTATCCCAATTGTCATAGATTGTATAGTATATTGTTGTTATAATATACTTTTGGACATGTGAAAATAAGAGGAAAATGAGTTTACCATTTGCTATTCACAAGAGTGCTTCAATTACTTGTCCCCACTTTATACAGTAAGTAGTTGATGTATAGCAGTTATAAGTAATTTATGATAATTAATTTTGTCTAATAAACACTTCCTGTAAAAATTCATTCCTTTATTTTTCAGAGTTCTATGTTTGATACGAAGCTATTCTTGCTAATCTAATGCTTCATGTTTGATTGGGTACTGGCAAATCAGAATGCATATATGGCCTATGTCATGCTTCAGTCTCAACATGTTTACTTGCAGTGTTGATTGGTTTTGTCTTCAGAAGCTTCCAAATATCATGCTACTTTAACAAAAGAAAATATGATAAGTTCTGTAGAATCCCATTTGGGCCCTCATCATAATTAAAGGTAGAAGGGCATTACTTAGTGGTTTAGTTAGTAGAGCGCCAAGCTCCTCCCGGGTGTGTCCGTGTTTGAGTCTTACCTTCCCCTAGTTAATGCTAGCTGATACACGTTTGTTTTTATTTTTTATGAAGTAAATACTACACAATATCACAAAACGTACAGGGCTTGAACCGGTCACCACTCTTTTGAGCATGGAGAGGTTATGTGTGAACGATATTCAATTTTTCACATGGGAGTTTAAATGGGTTTTTGGGGGTCAACATTAAGGGATTGAACAAGGATTGGCAAAATTGTGCTTTATTAATATTTTCTAGCAAGCTTTACAGCACGAGGGGATTTTTTTGACTGCTATTTCCCTTCATTGAAGCCAAATGCCCGAAAAAACAAAAGATGATAGTGATAACTCCAATAGTAAGTTAATTTCGGTATTAATCAACATGCATTCCTTTGTTGTGGTGCTTAATAAGTACCCACTCACGAAGGGCCTGTAGCCAGTGGTATATAAAAAAAAAAAATCAATGGAAATTATCAAAAGAAAAAAAAAAAAAAAAAATTCCGGGATGTAAAATATTTTTTTATTTTCTAGTATTTGGTTGTCGTAAAATATTTACGAAGAAAAAAATTATTAAAATCGAACGATAATAACTTATTTATTAATTTTCGACAAGTTATTTTACATGTTCTACCCGATGGATTTAACTTCAATCTAGACCTTTGCTAAACACAATATTGAAAATAACTGATAATGAACTATGAGAGAAACAGAATATTGAAAAGGTTAAATAATCAACGAAATAATGAAATAAAATATGGAAATATGCAAGTTAATAATAAACAACAGAACATGAGTAACTTTGAAGAACTTTTGATTAAAATATGGAACTTACAACTTTGATCTTTGAATACAACACTTTTGTCTTGAGCCAAGCTCCTTGGATGAAATAAAACTAAAAACTTAAACTTAAAAATTACAATTTGAACTGAGAACTTTTGAAATGGAAACTAAGAACTAAACTTGAAATGAGCCTACCTTCAATGTCTTGAGGAGCTGTTATTTATAGGGCCTCGAAGGAGCCTTGGGGAGCTTTGGATTCCTTGGTGATAAGGATGCAGTAGGAGGCCATGTGCAAAGCCTGAAAGGCTGAATTGAGGTGATGGCCACTGACTTGCCTTGGATTCCTTTTTTGAAATGCTTGTTTGTCATGAGTACCGAAATGTGCTAAAAGCCTAAAAATGGAGAACTGTAGAATAAAATTTTAAACTGTAAATTTTGCCTTTTTTTTTTTTTTTTTTAGTTGCTATGCAGCGGCATCGAATAACCGAAGTCAGAAACTTTTTTGAAATATTGTTTACTGGAGCTGTTAGGTAAAAATACCAAAACAGTCATCTTCATTGGGTTGGGCCAAATCTGTTTGGGAATCATGGAAAGAACCTGAGCCTTCACTTCTGTTGGAGCCCATTTTTGAGAAGGCTATGGGATTGACTTGGGCTAAAGCTTCCATGAGGAAGGCTTCATACTCATCTTAGGATTTTGCTGAAGAAAGCTTTGCTTGGGCCTGGCTTTTGGATAGGAGGAAAGCCGAAGACTCTCCTAAGCCAGAACATGATATTGCAGGGTGCTTTGAGAACCATTCTGAAATTGCTTCTGGAGTAACATCTTTGATAAAGAATTGGTCCCACCATTTGACTTTGAAAATCCTTCCTAGAAGAGGAAGCTTAGAAGGGGTTTTGAGGATTTAGAATTGCCATAGAACTATCCATGACAATGCGAAATTTGCAAAAAATAAGAATGATTTGGGAAATTCGGAAAGCTCAGGAGGAGCTTGGAATTTTTCATTGAAAATTGAAAATCCCTTGGACACTGTTTTAGGGATAATTTCTTGGCATGGACCAAACATATGCCACCAGTCAATGAACCATTTGGGGACATTTAGATTGAAATTCTTTTGGAAAAGGATAAGCCAGGAATGACTATAATCCTGATTTTGGAAATAAAAGGTATTGTACCAGGCATCCTGATAGTCCTAGTAATTGAAAGTTTGAGGGTTGCGAGGCTGAGAAAATTGCCTCGGAGCATTGATGTTTTTACCACAAGCTGCCGGAGTAAGGACTTTTTGAATGGTACATGTGGTGTGAGAAATGAAAGACTCATCACCTTGTTTTGAATGAGTTCAAATTTTGATGGAATCAGTGTCCACTAAAATAAACTCAAAAAAATTTTGTGTTTTTCGAAAATCTGATGTTGGATAATGAAAACCTTTGACAAAATGATTTTGAGAAAGTAAAATTGGGTTTTGGTTAAAAAGTTCTTTTTCAACCACACAAATGGTTGATAAATTTGGTTTTTGAAAATAACGATATTTTTTTAGAGTGGGATTGTTGACCACCACTTGCTGTGAAACAGATCTTGAGGAAATTTGTTTATCTGATGCTGAAGAAATTGCGGCATAAGTTTTTTGAAGGGGAGGGAAAACTGGTTGTTGGGATTGTAAGTATGTTTGGATGGGGTCATACTGGATTGGGGACATGTCTATGACATGTTGGGGAATTGTGGTTAGAGCTGAAAACTGGTTTGTAATTAATGGAGATGGACTAGCACACATAGCTTCTTCATCTTCCTCGACTTTATCATACCAGGTTTTTTTGGAAGGGGTTTGAGAAGAGGATGATTGTGCATATGCATCTTTTGTTTTGTGGGGTTTTGTACTTGCAACTGAGGCTCCTCTACCTGTCTTGGGAGGCATGGTAACCTCCCTTAGGCTCCTGCTTTTCCCAGTAAAAATTCCCTGGCGAGAAAATCAAGAAGAGAATTGTTTTCTCCTTTTATATATTCAATATCAAAGTTAAATACAAAAAGAATAGCTTGCCATCGGGCAAAAATTTGTTTTGAGGCTATGTTATGAACATCTTTCTTTAAAACAGTTTTTGCAGATTGGCAATCAACATGAACTAAAAATTTTTGATTTAGTAAATCACTTTGAAATTTTGAAATGCATAAAACTATAGATAAAATTTCCTTTTTGACTGTAGAGTAATTTTGTTGTGCTTGGTTCCATGTGCAAGAGGCGAACTGAACTAGTTGTTCTTTGTCACCTGTTTTTTGTTTTAGGATACCTCCATATCCTAATTCAGAGGCATCAGTTTTCACAATTTTGAAGGCTTCTGGATCAGCAATAGATAGGCAAGGAAGGTTTTTTGCTTTGCTTTTAAGGATTCTGACTGTTTTTGTATGCTAATCGGATCATAAGGGAGGGGACTTTTTTAATCTTTGGCGTAGTGGAGCATAAAGAAGAGAAAGATCCTTGAAAAATTTAGAAAGATAATTTAGGCACCCTAAAAATCTTTGAAGCTGGGTTTTGTCTTTAATTTCATCAGGGAATTTATCAGCAAATTGGATGGATCTGTTGATTGGGATGACAGTTCCTTGGTGGATCTGAAAACCTAAGAACCTAATCTTGGTCTGGAACAAGGTTAACTTTGATAAAGAAAGGACTAATCCATTATGCTTGATGGTTTGAGCAAATATATTGAGATGTTTCCAATGAGCATCTATAGAAGAAGAAAATATTAGTATCTCATCAATATAAACAATTAAAAAATTCGTAAGATGAATAAAAATATCATTCATAATTTTTTGGAATTCTGAAGGGGCATTTTTTTATCCGAAAGGCATCACATTCCATTCATAATGGCCAAAAGAAACCGTGAAAGCTGTTTTGTATCTATCTTTTTCAGCAATTTGGATTTGCCAGAATCCTGACTTGAGATCAAACTTTGAAAAAACGGTTGCATGAACGAGACGTTGGATTAGGTCCTTTTTATTAGGCAGGGGATACCTGATCTATTGAAGAACTTAATTGAGGGGCTTGTAATTGATAACTAATCTGGGAACACCTCTTTCTATTTCAGCATTCTTTTGGACATAGAAAGCGGCACAGCTCCATGGGGAACGGCTTTTTTGGATGAGGGATTTGTTCAATAATTCCTGTACTTCTTTCATACAGTAATCAAGAAGTTCTTGACTCATTTGGCTAGGACAGGCTTTGGTAGGGATATCCTTTTCATTAAAAGATTTTTCATAAGGTAATTCAACAATGTGTTGTCTTCTGTGCCAAAAAGCGATTGGGAGATCAGAGCAAACCTGACTTTCAAGTCTTAATCTGAACCTTTGAATAGAGTCTTGGAGACTTTTTTTACTGAGTCGTTCATCAGTCTGTTTGAAGATTAGTTCTTGTTTGAGAAAGTCTAAATGCTTTGTTTTGCTCTCAATCCTGTTGACAGCAGGGACCTGAGTAACATAGGAATCCTTAATGGTATTGAGATCCTTGGTGTCTATAGGATGAGCAAAAGGAAAACAAATTTCTTGTCCAACTAAACTTGTTGAAATGCCTTGGCTATCAACTTTGAACGGGTAAAGAAGAGAAATAAATGGAGTTCCCAAAATAACAGGGGTATTGAGATCTTTGACAAGGATGAAAGGTGTTTTAATACAAAGACCCTGATTACAAACATGGGCTTTGGTTAACTTGTATTGAACTGTGAGTCGTGAACCATTAGCACATTGAAGTCGTTCTTTGGTTTTCTCAAAGTATTTCGTAGGGACAAGTCCTTCGTTGATACAATTGAGATCAGCACCGGAATCAATGAGAGCCACTGTATGAATGGTATAGTCTTTGTTGATGACAATTTTCAGATTAACATGCCATTTCTGAAATGTTATCTGGGTCAGAAGGTTGATGTAACTCTCATTGTCCTTGGCTTTCTCATTGTCCTTGGGTTCAGAAACTTGTTGTTCAAGTTTTGCAAAGGACTTATGTAGTAAGGCATCTATCTGGGATTGTTGAAAAAGAATTTGGCTTCTGAGGGTAAGAATATCATGAGCAGTGGAATCTTTCAAAGCCTTGCCCTCTTGCTTTAGGAGTGAAATCTCTTGCTTGGTTTGTTTGATTTCTTTATGGAGATCTTGAATTGTAATTGGCATCTGGGGTTGTGTACCAAATCTTTCAAAGATATCAGTAAAGTTGTAAGTATTTGGTATAACAACGGGAGCTTTGTCTTTCCTTTGGCCAATGCTGTTGGTGAATTTAATCAAGCATTCCTTGTGCTGATCAAGATCTTCTATTTTGTCAATGAGTTGCAACATAAATTCTTGATCCTTAGTAATCATACAGATGCATTTGGTTTTGATAGGTTGGTCATTCGAAGATGGGTTGGAAGAATCAGAATCATAATCTGTATCAGCATGATAGTCATCTTCTTGAATACCATTGATATCATGTTCGGATTATTCATCTGAAGAGTTTAAAAGAATTTACATCAGTTGGCTTCTGACGGTTTCAGGGAGATCGAGCTCATTGATCTTCTGTTTGGCTCTGCAATCGCGTTTGTAGTGACCCATCTTGCCACACTTGAAGCATTTTATATTTGCTTTTGAGGTGGCAGGTTTTTTTTGAAAATGTTTTGGAGGAGGGGCATTTTTCTGTCTATTTTTCTCAGATGAGAGATATTTATCTGCAAAGGAGGGTTTGTTCTTGTTATACCGTGACCTATTTTCGTATCTCTTGGGAAAAGGCTTTCTGTAGCGGGTGTGACTTTTTCGTTTGGAAGGAGGGGTTAGGTTTTCGAAGCCGAATTGTTGGCAAAAAGTTCCTAATTCCTTTTTGCTAGTGGCATTCTCATGCTTGATTTGTTGTTGGAGTTTGAAATCGGTGCAGAGAGCAATTCCTTCAGCTGTGATGGTACTGATGATGTCACCATAGGTAAGGGAGTCATAAGGAATATGGCCATTGTGTTTTGATTTGAAATGCTTGCAAATTCTCTCAGCAAAAAGATTGGGGAGTCCAGTAATGAACTTTTCTTTCCAAAAGGCTTGTTACAATCAGTCCTGGTGAGGACCTTTGAGAGGAAGACATCCTTGTACCATCTGAAATCCTGAAGTTTGTGACATCGAAGGTTGGCTAGAATTTCTGAGGTCTTGTCTCTAACAATTGTGAGGTCATCGAGGAATTGTTTGGCGATAGAGAAAATGAGAGTAGCAACTGCATCTTCTATATCTGCACCTTCTTCCGTTTTGATAATTGTTCCTTCAGGAGTTGTTTTGACAGAGTTAAGAATGGCTTGTCGTTTATCTAGAGTGAGGATGTTGTCCCACCATCCTTTGAGTTGGCCATTGAATCCTCCTACTAAGAGTTGTGCTATAGCATGATCAGAAGAGTCATTCTTGGTTTTGTAAGCAGTGCTGACCATTGTCATTTCTTGAAGTGTATTGAGAATGTGATACTCAATTTTGCCATCCATGTTCCATTCATAAATGGTACCACTATTATAAGCAGCTTGGGAAAACTGGCCTCGTTCTTCGATCTAGAGGTCAGGGAAAGTTGGCCTGGGATAGTAGTTTCGAGAAGAAATTGGTTCTAAAGTATTGACGTGTTGGTTCTGGAAGACCTCAGTAATTTCATCAATTCCAGTATCAGTACCAATTTCTTGGTTAAGAGTATTGATGGCTCTAAGAGGTCTTTCAGGCGTATCAGGAATCGTAGTTGTGGAGGTCATAAGGGATTCGATACGCTTAATCCTGTCCTGTGCTTTTTCAATGGTACTACGTTTTGATAGTTGTTTAGACAAGTGTAAGGGGATTTCATGAGGTATGAAAGGGGGAGCATTATCAGATTGAATGGGGATAATTTGTTCTTTTTGAAGCAAGGTTTCCATACGAGAAAGCTGATCACCAAGTGTCTGGAGGTGTTGGTTTGTGTAGTTATTTTGTTCCATGATGCTTCGGACATCACAGGTCGTGGATGTGGTGTTGTCGTTGGCGACTGTTTTTGTCTTGAAAGGAGAAGCAGTAAGTGTGACTGTTCCTGATGCCTTTGTCTTGAATTTGATTGCCTCGGTTGGGGGATGGATGGCTTCAATAGCCTCACCACGTGATGTTTGCCAGGTAATGGTGGATTTGGTTATGACATTTAAGGATTTGATTGTGGAGAAAGGAAAATTAATATTGTTGTCGAGACAATATTTTTCAAACCATGTGAAGAAAGGGGCTGAGAACTTGTGTTGTATGCAGAAAGCAGACCACTCTTCTCTAATAAGGATAGTTTTTGAGCATAAAAGGTTTGGAAATACCATTGTCTTTTGGAATCATTAATCCGCAGAGTAGAAATCTTTGCGTAAGAAGTCTTTATCGATCTCATAAATATTTTCTATCATGTAGAGCTGATGAACCTGATGATCGGGATCTTCAAATTGAGAATCATTTGGGGATGGAGGGGAATCATGATGATCTTCGTTTAGGGGAGGGTTTTGCAGACCTTTATTTTGAGAACTAATTTGGGTAGGTAAAGGAGTGCTGCGAAGAGGATGGATGTCTTATTCCTCAGTTTGTATGCTAACATTGTCCTGGTAAACTAGGTTAGCAACTTCTTTGTTTTTGACACCAACGAGGTTTGGATACCTTGTAGGCGTTCCTGAAAATGATTTTCGGGAAGGGGCTTTTGAATAGTTTGTATGAGTAGCATGAGAAAAAGAGGATCTAGGTCTTTCTATTTCTTGGATAGTAAGTCTATTGGGCCTGTTAGAATTAAATCTTACCTTTACCGTGCCATCAGAAAATTGAGATATTTGTTCTAACCTTTATTCTCGATCTTTGAAGGAGGAGCTGTATGCTCTAGAGTCCACTCTTCTGGAAAGGTGACTTCATTCCAAGTGATGGTTTTTGGAACATAAGTTTGTGAATTTTCGTCACTAGCATGAAGAAGAAGGGTTTCTCCTTTGGGAGACGCACGAAGAGCATGGGGGCTAACTTGGGTTGTATAGACTTTGTAGTAGATTCTATAGACAACATTGAAGGGTATGGCTCCATCCATCATTTTATAACCACTACTTGAGACATTGATGGTTAAAGTATGGAGGATTGTTGGATCATCAAGAGTTACCGAATAATTTGAAAAACAATTGAAGTATTGTGGTCCATTAAAAAGACTAGTTTGGCAAACTCCTTCTCTTTTTTCCTTCCTACCAAATGAAAGGTTTGCTTTGTAATTTTTTAAAAATAATTTTATATTTTTTGAGTGGTTAAAAATTATTTTCTGAGCCACAAACCGAGCAATCCGAATTCCTTCCCCTTTTCATTCCTCCCTTCTTCCTCTCTCCTTTTCTCGCTGCCAAACATGCCCTTGATTCTGTTGTGCACTTGCCAGTACCAATGTTTAATAACCGTTTTGAACTGTGAGACAACTCTGCTGCCTCGCTGTGATGTATACACACACAGTCACACACAGAGAGAGAGAGAGAGGGCTTGGGTTTGTAGCCACGAATCTCCGACAAATTGGCGGGAGCTTAAGAGAGAGACTGAGCAGAGGGATCCGAATTTACAGGGCCTCTTGAACAATTTCACTTCCACAAACCCCCAAACACATCATGAAGACGATGAGAGAGAAACAATACAACAACAGAAAAAGAAGAAGAAAGAGAAAGAAATCGACGCACATTTCCATAGAAAACTCTCTTTTTGATCACCTGATTGATCGACTTTCAAATTTTCTCATCCTTTCTCAATTCCCATTAATTCCCGAGAATCAATCAGAAAAGAAAATTCTCCAATCCACTCGCCATTTTTTTTCGGACAAATGGTGAGGTACTTTTCTGAGAGAACATGATTTGCATGGTCAAGACAGAGAGAGCGCCAAATGCCCGAGATTTGAATCTATGAGAAGAACTTACTTCAAAATTAATAGAGGAATTCTTTGAGAGAGTGAGCTTTGGATTGAAGCTTAAACATGGTATGCAAGTTCTTAGGCTGAATTTACTTTTAGTACTGCTATATTGTGATTAAATTTGCAAGCATGAATATATATATATATATATATATATATATATATATATATATATATATCATTGTGTGCATTTGTTTTACGGATTGTTAATTTGTTATGCCCACAAAGAGGGAAAATATACCTCTAATTCCTAACCAGTTGTCTATTACTTGGGCTTTATTTATTTTATTTTTTATTTTTATTTTTTTATTGAACTAAAATCAAGTGATGAATTTTTATGGGTCTGTTGAGAAAATTTTGAAGTAGCAATGAAGTGATAGAAATAATCTTAATCAAAGATTGCTTGATATTTATGTATGTTGTGAAGAAGGTACAAGTAAAAAGAATTTTTAATGAATTTGTACTTGCTTGTATTGGCATTTTTTTAGTTAGCAACTTTTTCCTTTGTTTGGCAATCTACTTCCTCTTTTTACACCTTTTAGTTTTTTGGTGGGAAATAAATCAAAGCCACAACTTATAATCATGAAAATGTGAGTATCATGGAACAGAAATATCTCACTTGTAGTTGTTGCTTACCTATATCCATAGCATTGGCAGGATTATTAGCTTGAATAAATGGTGGCTACATCAAACAAGTTGGAATGGCTTGAAAAAAATTAGAAGTATTTTAATTACACTTGGGTTGGTATCCTTGATCTTTATATCATTTTAAATTGTGTATAAAGAGAGTAGCATATTGTATACGTAAAATATTGTTATGTCTCAGTTTGTGGCAGTTGTAGCACATAATGAATTTCACATTCTCTACACATAATAACTTTAGTAAGATGAGGCTTGCTAGTCTGTTTGTTTGTGGTGAACTACAAACTTCTTATTCATGATCATGATCGTAATTCTGGAGGGCACTACCATTATTATATCATTTAACATTCAAATTCTTCTTGCGAAGCAACTTTGGTCCATCAGCCCAATACCCATTACCAGTGTTGGTCCCGCTAATGTGGGGATGCTGGGAAGGGTGAACAGGATCCCTAATAGCTGAATAAAATCATATTTTCTATAAAATAGTAATGCATTATTTTTAGAGCAAAGGCATTCAGGAGGTGAAAATACACTTCAATGTGGAGTGAAATTATTTGGAAGGGATTGGTTGAGAAACCTAAATGAAAAGGAAGATTTCAGAGCTTTTACCAAGTAATCAGATGGTATGAAAATTGAGGGCATGCGCATTCATCAATCTGCTAAGACAGCACGTCTAGTTTGATAAATTATTAACAAGTTGGAATAAATTTAGTCATCAATAACATGGTCAAAGGAATATGTAAACCTGTGTTTGAGTTCATTGCCATGATGTGTATACTTGTGAATTCAAAAGTGTGCTTTTATGAAACTATAAAACTAAATCTAAATATATGTTCTGTGGCTATATACATTTTTAAATACATTGTTTATGCAACAGTTTCATACTTAAAATATCTGTATTATTTATCAATTGCTGCAGGGTACTCCGGTGAACATTATTGTAGGTTCTCATGTCTGGATTGAGGACCTAGAACTAGCTTGGATTGATGGACAGGTAGCAAAAGTTAATGGGGCAGAAGCTGAGATTCGGACTAGTAATGGAAAGATGGTAGGTAGCTTGTCTATGATTACAAGTCATAATCTTTTTGATGTTTTTGTTAATTTAGTTCACAGGTGTTGGTTTTTTCCACAGAAAATTGAAATGCTAGTGGTTTTCTCATCATGTTCACATAACACAAGTACTTTTAATATTTGCCATAGAAACATTTTAATGCTTTATTTATTTATTTATTTATTGTTACTACTATTATTTTGAATTGTGTAGTTCAACAGCTAACATGTAGTTGTTTAATATCTTAGAGGATTTATTTATACTTCTCTCTATGTCTATACCTGTCAATACTTTCCTTTTCTATTTTTAAAATTCCAGTATCTTCTGGAAGATCCTTGTTGTTGATTACTGGATTTAACTATAAATTTTCTTCCATATTTTTGTATTCAATTTATCGATGAGGAGTTCTTTGTCTTTCTGATAAACGGCCTTCTAATTTATGTATATTTTTAATTTTTTATTTGTTTTTTGTTTTTTCCACTGACAGAACTTCCTTATTTTTGTTTTGTCATTTTTTCAATCTTTCTGTTAAACTTTAAGAACTACTTTCTTTGTGTGTATTTTAATAATGCATTTTGCATGGTCATAAGAAAATGTGGCAGATTTCATATTCTTAAGTAATATAATAATGCCCCATTGTGTCTTCTACAATCTATTGAATTATGCATATAACACACCGTAATTTTTCTTTTTCTTCAATTTCTTTTTTTTATTTATTTTAAATTCATGTCCTTGTATTACAACAGTTATATACTGAAGGAGAAAAACCATGTAATTCTTTAAATCAACTTTCATTCAGTGAAATGGGAGAACAGTCTGCAACTTGACAGCCGGAAAGCCGGAATCCTTTGATTAAATATCATATTTATATCGATTTTTAAAATTAGATCCATGTAGCACTCTGAAGTCATTTTCTGACTTTCCTATAAGGTTGTCGCAAAGTTGTCAAACTTATATCCCAAGGATATGGAAGCTCCAGCTGGTGGAGTTGATGACATGACAAAACTTTCTTATTTGCATGAGCCTGGTGTCCTGCAGAATCTAAAAACTAGATATGAACTCAATGAAATCTATGTAAGCTTTCCTTCTCACTGTTCCAGGGGAATAGTCTTAGTTATTGTGTTATGGTCTGTGCAATAATACATCTCTCTCAATGTCCTGTATCTTGACAGACCTACACTGGAAATATTCTTATAGCTATCAATCCATTCCAAAGACTGCCTCATATTTATGATGCTCACATGATGCAACAATACAAGGGAGCACCATTTGGAGAACTAAGCCCTCATGTTTTTGCAGTTGCTGACGTCGCTTTCAGGTGATTCCATTCTATATAAGAGCTAAGAATTACTTTATGTATGTTCTATACAATATAGTATAATGAGTTAGCGTGTACAGCTGTTATCTATTAGCTGTTATCTATTAGCTGATGTTATCTATTAGCTGTTAATGTATTAGTTGTCAAATTAATTATATAGTTGACTTACCTTGAATAGGTCTGTGTATTCTGTATAAATATCCTTGAGATATATGAAAGAAATACAACTTTTTCAGCCATTTATCAATTTGGTATCAGAGCAAAAAAAAAAAAGAAAGGAATTTCCGCTGCTTTCTTTTCTTTTCTATTTTAACCTTACTTCTAAAGACCTGCAACAGCCATCGGCTATCTTCTTTGTGCTGCTGCTGCTTGTCTTCAATACCTCTTAGCCATGATCCATGGCAGCCAAAACAACCACTGATTCTTCCTCTCTAACTGAAAATTCATCTGACAGCAAGGAGTCCTCCACGATGACTATTCACGAAACTTCTTCTCCCATTCCTATTAAATTGGATGGTGCTAATTATCGTGTTTGGTCTCAGATTTTGGAGATGCATATTGCTGGTAGACAGAAAAAGGGGTATATCACAGGGAGAAAGGTTGCATCTGCAGAGGATGATCCAAGCTATGATGAATGGGAGGCTGAAGATGCCTTAGTCAAGTCTTGGCTTATCAATTCCATGACGGTTAATCTGATGTCCCACTTTGTGCAGTGTGGAACAGCCAGGGAGGTTTGGGATGCGGTAAAGAGAAGTTATCTTGATGTCTCTGATTCTTCTCAGGTTTATGAACTGATGAAGAAGTCCTCTCAATTGCGTCAGGATGGTCGGCCTCTTGTGGAGTACTAGAATGAGCTGAACTCAATCTTCAAGGAACTTGATTATCGAAGACCAAATGATATGACGTGTGCAACTGATATTGAGAAACAGAGGAAGCGTATTTCTGAGGATCGGGTCTATATGTTTCTTAATATCAGTTGCACACGTCATATCATTTGGTCTTCGATAATCAAGTTCCTTGAAGATTGAGTTCAGCTCATTCTAGTACTCTACAAAAGGCCGACCATCCTGACAACGCGCGCCTACACACCACAACAAAACAGCATAGCAGAGCGTAAGAATCGTCATCTTTTAGAGGTGGCTCGTACCTTATGCTTTATTTTGAATGTTCCTAAGCGTTTCTAGGCCGAGGCTGTCATGACTGCTGTTTTTCTTATCAACCGAATGCCTTCTCATATAATTAATTATCAAACTCCATTGAGAATGCTATCCCGATTTCACTCTATTCCTTCTACACTTAATCTTTATCCTAAGGTTTTTGGTTGCGTGTGTTATGTTCATATACATTCTTTTCATAGGGATAAGCTTGACCCTTGTGCTCTTAAGTGTGTCTTCCTTGGTTACTCTAGTTCACAAAAGGGCTATAAATGTTTTCATCCTCCTACAAGTAAATACTATGTGTCCATGGATGTTTAGTTTTATGAAAGAGAGTCTTATTTTTCTGGGGATGTATCTTTGATTCCTCTTCAGGGGGAGATTAGTAGTAAGGAAGAGGAACGGTTATGGCTGGAAGAAAAGAGGTTATGGATTTCAGGTAAAGAGGATGATTCAACTGTTATGAAAAAAGGAGAACCTTTAGATACTCTTGATCATGTGGAGACTGAGTTCGATGAAAAAATAGGTGAAAGACCAGCCCACTTGTTCAAAGAAGTAAATGTGAGAAGGAACAAGGATGCCACTGTCATGCTGCCTCCTTCTAACTCTAGTACCCCTCTTGATGGTACTACCATGCCATCGGATGAATCTTCTAGGATTAACTCTGAGGTACATGTTTCTTCCCCTTTAACTTCAACTTCAGATATTAATTCTAACCCTGTAACTTCTGTGGAGACTGCTGCCTTGAATCCACAGGTTGGTGATCAGGGTAGGAGGTATCCTTTTCGTGATCGTAAAGAACCTGATAGGTTGGGTTTCTCCAAATTTTCTTCTAATGTTGTCTATCCTATCTCTGATTTTGTTTCCTATCACCGTCTGTCTAAGACTCACCTAGCTTTTGCCCTTCAGTTGTCTTCTGTGTCTGTTCCTAGTCATTTTCAAGATGCCCTTGGAGATCCTAAGTGGAAGGCCGTTATGGTCGAGGAAATGAAGGCTCTCCTGAAGAACTCTACTTGAGAGTTGGTCGAGTTACCTCAGGAAAAGAAGACAGTGGGATGTAAGTGGGTGTTTACAGTGAAGTATAAGTTAGATGGGACAGTTGAGAGGTACAAGGCTAGACTAGTTGCCAAGGGATACACTCAGACTTATGGGATTGATTATCAAGAGACCTTCGCTTCTGTGGCCAAGATGAACACTGTTCGAGTTATACTCTCTCTCGCAATTAATTTGGACTGGCCATTACAACAGTTTGATGTGAAGAATGCCTTCCTTTATGGTGATTTGATAGAGGAGGTGTATATGGATCCTCCCCCGGGGTTTACACCTGAAGGAGGTAAGGTATGCAAGCTAAAGAAGGCTTTATACGGGTTGAAACAATCACCAAGAGCATGGTTTGGCAGGTTGAGCTAGTCAATGAAGAAGTATGGTTTTAAGCAAGCTTTGGCAGATCACACTCTCTTCTATAAGAGGAATGGTGATGATATTACTTTGCTTATCGTTTATGTGGATGACATGATTGTTACAGGTAGTAACACCAATGAGATAGAGAAGCTTCGGAGCTATTTGGCCAAGGAATTTGAAATGAAGGACTTAGGGGTTTTGAAACACTGTCTGGGCATTTAAGTGTCTCGGTCCAAGCAGGGACTTTTTCTCTCTCAACGAAAGTATACATTAGATCTCTTGGCTGAAACTGGTAACTCTGCGTGTGTTCCTATAGACACTCCTATTGAAGTAAATCATGGCGTAGCTATATATCTTGATCAGATTCCGACAAACAAGGAGAGATATCAGAGACTAGTGGGGAAGTTGATCTATCTGACTCACATTAGGCCTGACTTGTCGTATGTAGTTAGTGTTGTGAGTCAATTCATGCACAATCCGAGTGACCGACACATGAATGCAGTGAATCGTATTTTGGCTTATCTAAAGTCCTCTCTAGGTAAAGGTATTATGTTCTCCAAGCATGGACACCTAGACATTGTAGGTTATACAGATTCTGATTTTGCGGGAGCCAAGTTGGATAGGAAGTCTACTTCAGGGTATGTGTCATTCGTTGGAGGCAATTTGGTGACCTGGAGGAGTAAGAAACAGAATGTGGTCTCGTTGTCTAGTACAGAAGCTGAATACCGTGCTCTTCATCATGCAATTACGGAGCTTACATGGTTGAAGATTCTCTTAAGTGAGCTTGGGTTTGGTCCAAAGAAACCTATATTGATTTTTTGTGATAATACAGCAGCTATTGATATTGCTAATAATCCAGTGCAACACGATCGAACTAAGCATATTGAACTTGACCGAAACTACATCAAGGATAACCTGGATTTTGGTGTGATAGAGGTTCCTTACATTAAGAGTGCGAACCAGCTGGCTGATATGATGACTCATGGTGTTACTAGTGGCTCGTTTCATACATCACTATCCAAGTTGGGCATGTGCGATATCTATGCACCAACTTGAGGGGGAGAGTTAGCGTGTACAGCTGTTATCTATTAGCTGATGTTATCTATTAGTTGTTATCTATTAGCTGTTAATGTATTAGCTGTCAAATTAATTGTATAGTTGACTTACCTTGAATAGGTCTGTGTATTCTGTATAAATATTCTTGAGATATATGAAAGAAATGCAACTTTTTCAGCCATTTATCAATTTAATGTGTTTGCTAAAAACAGGGCAATGGTCAATGAGGGGAAAAGCAATTCAATTTTGGTCAGTGGTGAAAGTGGAGCTGGTAAAACTGAGACCACAAAAATGCTTATGCGGTACCTTGCCTTTCTAGGTGGTCGGGCAGCTGCTACTGAAGGACGCACGGTTGAACAACAAGTTCTTGAAGTATGATGTAGCTTTAGTTATTATTCAGATGAAGTTTCAATTCCTCTTTTTGTCTTATACTGCTTGTGTTTTATTCATTTTTTTATATGAGCTGTGACTGAACTTCTGCACTAACTGATTTGAGTGCAGTCCAATCCAGTTCTTGAAGCATTTGGCAATGCTAAAACAGTTAGAAATAATAATTCCAGGTGAATCAAGCTTTGACTAATTGACATGTTGCACACTGCATTAGTTACTCAGTCCATGTAACACAAGAAATATTTGGTGAAAATGCAATGATCACTTGTTTCAAATCTCTATGACATGAATTAACCTTTTCTTTTGAGAAATTAGTATATGATATGTATTAAGACATCTCGCTACCAGGAAAAAAAAGGATATATGTTAAGAATTCAGAGTTGTGATCTCGTTTTGGTGGTTTGACATTGATGTTATCTAAAATGTTATAACTGGTGCAGCCGTTTTGGTAAATTTGTTGAGATCCAGTTTGATAAGCATGGAAGAATATCAGGAGCAGCCATCAGGACTTATCTTTTAGAGAGATCTCGTGTTTGCCAAATTTCTGATCCTGAGCGCAACTACCACTGCTTTTACCTTCTTTGTGCAGCACCACAGGAGGCATGTCTTGCTAAATTGACAACTGTGACTGACAGGCTCCATTTTCTTGTGTATAATAAATTGTAGCTTACTATGTTTAGCTAACATTCTTTATGCTGCCAGGAAATTGAGAAGTATAAGCTGGGAAACACCAAGTCATTCCACTACCTTAACCAGTCTAAATGCCATGAGCTGGTTGGAGTAAGTGATGCCCATGACTATCTTGCTACGAGGAGAGCTATGGATGTTGTTGGGATAAGTGAAAATGAGCAGGTATAACCTTTAGAAGTTGGGTTCACTTCATTTTCTCTTTATAGCACAGCTAGGAAGGAACATCCTCTCTTACTCTCTCTCCCTCCCTCTCTCCCTCCCTCTCTCTCAGGAAGCAATTTTCAGAGTTGTTGCTGCAATTCTTCATCTTGGCAATATAGATTTTGCTAAGGGAAAGGAAATTGATTCATCAGTTCCGAAGGATGACCAGTCCAAATTCCATCTTAAAATGACAGCTGAACTTCTTATGTACGAACAGTTTCCTGACATCATCATTGGAGTTATTAGGTTCTATATTTCCTTTCAAATACTAAATGTTGATTCTATCTTCATCTCAGGTGTGATCCTTTGGCCTTGGAAGATGCATTATGTAAACGTGTGATGGTCACTCCTGAAGAAGTTATAAAGCGAAGTCTTGATCCGCTTAGTGCATTAGTTAGCAGGGATGGTTTGGCGAAGACAATATATTCTCGATTATTTGATTGGTAAGAGAAGCTGGCTTTTGAGATGAATTATTTAATCAATTAAGATGTTCTGCTGTTTCTGTGAGAAAACTCAATTGACAAATTGACATGATGAGAGGTACTTTTTTAAAAATCTACAGGTTGGTGGATAAAATTAATAGCTCAATTGGACAAGATCCTAACTCAAGAAACCTGATTGGGGTTCTTGACATCTATGGTTTTGAAAGCTTTAAGCATAACAGGTAGCAACTAGCAACTGACATCCAAAAAAGAAAGAAAAAGAGCATATTTGGTTTATTTTTTAGTGTGATGCATACAAATACTTTCTCTTGGCTTGGCAGTTCTGGTATCTTATTTTCAGTGTATCATGCTGTGCAGTTTTGAACAGTTCTGTATTAATTTCACAAATGAGAAGCTGCAGCAACATTTTAACCAGGTAGCTCTCAGATCAAATTGACCCTGTAAGCATTATTTTCATTTTATTTCATAACTTTAGTGTCCAATGATGGCTTCCAGCACGTCTTCAAAATGGAACAAGAAGAATACACAAAAGAGGAGATTGATTGGAGCTACATTGAATTTGTAGATAATCAAGATGTCCTGGATCTCATTGAAAAGGTTTTTCCAAATTTTTTTGTGGCACTAATAACTCCTGCTTTCAAAATGATTGACCTTTTATTGTCGTAGGCATGTCCAAATGAGACTCTTACCTTCTCAGACCTCCAAATGACCCAGTCACCACTTCTACCACTGGGTCAGATAGATTTACTTTGACATCAGAAATGTATGGTGATTATTTGTGAGCATATCTGCATATACGTGATTAAAAAGTTGTTCTATCTGTATTTTTCGTTAATTAGCTGTTATCTAAATATAAAAAGAGGCACACTAGTTACATGGATCTGATGTGTAGTTCCATCAGATACATTATTATAAAAAGCCAAATACTTTGATTCGACTGCCTATATATCTATATCTAATTCAATCTGAGCTGAGTGGCTCTTGATTCATTTATTTAGTTCTCGGCTATGTTACATGGAATCTTCAAAAGTAGGTGAAGTATCCGTTTCTGACACATAATACTCGGACATGGGTATGAGATATGTGTGCAACACTTTTGGTTGGACATGCATGCATCTAAAATATATATCAAACAATTTGGATTTATTATATTATTGTTTCAAAATGAGTGAAATGCTTATATTGAACACTATGTTATATAAAGACATTGTTTTAGTTTAAAAAATAAAATAAAATGATTAAATAATATAAATATTTAGCAGTTTTGCTATGTCCTTTTGTTTGGGGATTTGACAAGTCCACGCTTATATACATGCCTGCACCATACACACTTACCGAGTCCATGTAACATAGATTCTCTGTATAGACCAAACAACAAATTCTCAATACTAGTTCACAAGTTGAAAGAACTAGGTTGGTCTCTGTAATTTGGTTCAGATTCTCAGATAGGTATAGTCTTTTGTGTTCATAACATGGTGTTTCTTTGAGCATATATTTAGTGAAATAATTTCTAAATCCTCTGCTTCATGTTTGTATTTGTCTTCCTTTTTCTTTTCTTTCCTTTTATTTATGTGTTCATTTTTCTTTATTTTCATGTGTTTTTGTTGAAATATGGGTTCTAATATTAACATAAATTTTGACACTTCTACATAAACAAAAATGTAAATCGTGTGACTCCTACATACAGATAAATTAAGTAAACATACATAAGTTTGACACAGAAATTTCTAGTTTCGTGAGTTTTTTAGCAATCAATGAGGAAGTGGATAGAGGTCTAAGTCATGTAAATGATCCTACAGTGTGGATTTTTTTCTTCTTATTATTAATCTGAAAATCATTTTTGTGGAGAGGGGCATGCGTTTCCGGAGTCTTCATTATTGTACATCCATGACCTCAATGTTTATTTTTGTATTATTTTCATAATGATTCTATGACACTGTACTTATTGCAGAAACCGGGTGGAATCGTTGCTCTTCTTGATGAGGCCTGGTATAATGATGTTTATTCACCTTTGATCTGATGTGTTTTCGTTTTTAATTCAAAAGGTCTCCATGGTGCTTTTTCTCTTTTTAACTTATTTCCCCTGTTCTAGGGAATAAAATTTCCAAAATACAATTGTCATTATCAAACTATGTGAAAATTTCAGATTTTGGGTTTTAGATAAGTTTCAAATGGATGATCTCTTATTCTTATTACTGGTCCTTTTTTTTTCAGTATGTTTCCAAAGTCAACGCATGAAACATTTTCAAATAAGCTTTATCAGACATTTAAAAACCACAAGCGCTTTGTCAAGCCAAAACTGTCTCGAACAGATTTCACAATTTCCCATTATGCTGGAGAGGTATGTCAATTACCAGAACATTGTTCCTCTATACATTTGTTTTCTGGTTCGTTTAATATTCTCCCTCATCCCATATATTTACAGGTTCAATATCAATCCGACCAATTTTTAGACAAAAACAAAGACTATGTGGTTGCTGAACATCAGGACCTGTTGATTGCTTCCAAATGTTCTTTTGTAGCAGGTCTTTTCCCTCCAATTTCTGAAGAGACTACCAAGTCTTCAAAGTTTTCTTCGATTGGTTCTCGTTTTAAGGTATCATTGTTTCAATTATGTTAATGAAATGTTTGTAACCTTGAATAATCAATATTTAACTCAACAAAGCTTTGTTCTGAGTTTTTGGAATCAGCTATGTGAATATGTTAAGCTGTTATGCTATTTATGGCCATAAAGATAGTTAAAACAGATGCAATAGTTTTTTGTTCCGTACTATCTAACCCATGTTCATGTTGGTAGCATTAATCAATTGATTCTCCATACTATCTCAACCCACATCATTCTTGCTCACTTGTGTAGTTATTAATCTTTGCTACACATGGACAAAACCAAGTCAGTTGATTTTTCCTCATAAATTTTGGGAAAATTATCTGTCAAAGTACATCTACATTCTATAACTACAACAATTTATAATTTATTCACTTTTTTTTCTTTCTTTTTTATTTATTTATTTTTTTTCACGTCAAGAAGTTTACCTACCAAAAACAAAAATGTTGACTATTAATGTGGTTACAATCTAATGCTGCAGTTACAACTACAACAATTGATGGAGACTTTAAATGCTACAGAGCCTCACTATATCAGATGTGTCAAGCCAAATAATGTTTTGAAACCTGCCATTTTTGAGAATACCAACATCATGCAACAGTTGCGTTGTGGTGTGAGTACATTTGATAATTGTGGTTTGGAACTGCTTTTATTTTAAAATAGAAATATCTATTTTTTGTTACTTTTGTGTAGTTGATGGTAACAAATCCTTTCCCTTGTAGGGTGTTTTAGAGGCAATCCGAATCAGTTGTGCTGGATATCCTACTCGCCGTCCCTTTTTCGAATTCATAAATAGATTTGGACTCCTTGCCCCAGAGGTTTTGGAAGGGAAGTAAGTACACTCTTTTTGCTTGAATTGCTGCTTAAAAGGTGACATTGTTACAATTTGTCTCATCTTTATGGTGACTGGCTAACTTTACATCTGTTGTTGGAGTGTTCTGGTTTTACTTGAATAGATGTGAATGTGCTTCTGAATCTAGTGCATCAATGTACAGCTACGATGAAAAAATTGCATGCGGAAAGATTCTGGAAAAGAAGGGGCTTAAAGGGTTCCAGGTAACACCAGGAATTTTTTTTTTTTTACTTCTTGTGATAACTGCTGTTTCATTAAATTAATGATCATAATATTATCTTATTCACTTTTATCTTGTATAGTTTTAGGCTTCATCCAGCTGTTATTAATTCCATTTATATTGCTGCAACTGTTCATATTATACCTAATTAACCTTTATGATAATTTCCTTTCAACTATTTCGAACATAAAATGTGCCCCGTGCTTGAATTGAAGTAGGCTATGCACACACACACACACACACACATATATTTGTTGGCTTGAGCGATCTAGCCACAAATATTTCTGGACGAAAGTTTAGTTGTCCTCCAAATGGTGTTGCAGATTGGTAAAACAAAGGTTTTCCTAAGAGCTGGGCAGATGGCTGAACTAGATGCACGGAGAGCAGAGGTACTTAGTAATGCAGCGAAAACTATTCAACGGCGTATACGAACTCATGTTGCTCATAAGCGATTTATAGCATTGCGAAAGGCTGCCATTTTTATGCAGTCTTTGTGCAGAGGTGAGCCATCTGAAAAATCTTGAAGCTTGGATTACTTTGTAACTGCATGCAGTGTCGTTCCCAGAAACTAACAGTTTTGAGCCCTTAATAATATTCCTGTTACTACAAGGAAATGGTTATGATACTACTAATCTTCTTTCCTCTCTCTCTCACGTATCATAACACCATAGGTCGAATTTTAACCACTGAAGCTTTTTATTTTTTAACTTCCATTTTCACATGCTTTTTAAATGACTTTCAGGTAGACTGGCTTGCAAACTTTACGACAATATGAAAAGGGTGGCATCTTCTGTCAAGATTCAGAAGCACACACGTAGATACCAAGCCAGAAAAGCATATAGCAAACTCTGGGTATCTGCACTTGCTCTGCAAACAGGTTTACGCACAATGGTTGCTCGTAAAGAATTCAGATTTAGGAAGCAAAGTAAAGCAGCAGTTATTATTCAGGTTGATTCCTTCATGATATTGCCATATCTTATAGCTTGGTAGATTAACTTTGTAGTCTGTCAAGCTCTCAAATAATGCTTTTGTTATGCAGGCCCAGTGGCGTTGCCACAGAGCTTCTTCATACTATAAAAAGCTCAAGAGAGGATCAATAGTTACACAATGCAGATGGAGGGGAATAGTTGCCCGGAGGGAGCTACGAAAGCTTAAAATGGTCAGTGTTGATAACAATTTGCCATTTAATTTGAATATAATTCATGTTTCAGGATTTGTTATGTAGTTGGTGTGGCGACCTATGTGGGCGGGTGAATAGGCACTGGGCGAGCTACAGGTTGCACAATCCCACATCGCCTGGGTAAGGTGAAGGTTCGATCTCCAAATGGTAATAGGCCTTTTGGGGTAAAACCCAAGAACAAAACAGTAAGGGCTCGGGCCCAAAGCGGACAATTTCATACCATGTGGTGGAGTGGGTCATTACAGTTAGTATCTGAAAATCCCTTGAATATCCATGGTAAAAGGTAATCTGCATGCATGAATTAAAGAGGGGTGTGGGGTTGAGATGCTTTCCCCTACAACTTTATCTAGAACTACATGGGTTGCATACAATTATTGGCATACAAGGACTTTCATTGAATCTAATTTTGGTATGTACAGCATGTCATTTTTTTCCCTGTTAGATGTTTGAAACCCCGTCAGAATCTACAGCATCCCAAAAATTGAATACTGAAACTCCCAACTCCAACTCTCTGCAGGCTGCAAGGGAAACAGGTGCACTTAAAGAAGCAAAAGATAAGCTTGAAAAAACAGTGGAGGAACTCACATGGCGTTTACAATTGGAAAAACGGTTAAGGGTAATATTACTGTCAATGAATAAACATTATCTATATTGAAGATATTTTCATATGCAGACATCTTCTATTGGAAGCTTATATATATGACTGCGATACATTGCAACAAAAATCTTGTGCTTTCATGCAATTTGCCGGACTGTCAATCAGTAGATTTTGCAGGGAACTGTTTCTGTTCAACATCCTTGAATTACTTTTTTGTTCCTGCTACATCTAAATAATTTGCTTCTTTTTTCTTGTTAATGTATATAAACTCATGCCAAGTTTGAAATCATGTATGCAGACTGACTTGGAAGAATCAAAAACACAAGAGATGACAAAATTGCAGAATTCTTTGCAAACTATGAAAAACAAAATTGATGAAACAAATGCAATGCTTGTCAAGGAAAAAGAGGCTGCAAGGAAGGCTATTGAAGAAGCACCACCTGTTATCAAGGAAACACCAGTTTATGTTGAAGATACCAAAAAAGTTGAATCTCTAACAGCAGATGTGGAGAGATTAGAGGTAATAACATGTAAAACAATGAATATTGCCTATTATGTTCAGCCATTTAGGCTACATGAATTCTAATTGTTAATTAGAATCTCTATTAAGTGTGCTTCAAGAACATTTGGTATCTCATACATCAAGAATAGTATGTCCTTTATGCTAATTGTTTCTAACAAAATAGATCAGTCACTTAGTGCAAAGAGTGAAAATATGGTTTTAAGTACGCGGGAAACTATTTGTGCGAACAATGCTAAAAGTTAGGTCTGTTCCCAGCTTAGCTCTCGTACCTGATGGGGACAGGTAACGACCTTTATAGTAGAGCATTTGTTGTATGAATTCCGTGCAAATTCATGCTTACCATGACAAAATGAGAGATACAAAGACATTTTCCAAGTATGGGATTGCTTTTGTGATTACTTTTTGTTTTTGCATTTGGACATGACCCAGTGACCTGGCTAGACCAATTGGTATATTCAGAAAACAAATGTGAATTGAACATTAATTGGGCATAATGACTTTATGAGACGTATAGAAGATTAATGCAACTTTTGTCATAGATTAGAGTTAGGTGTATTGAGAAGGCAATGATTGCTTGCTTATGAAGGTATACATATTTATGCAGCTAGGAGTTATGTAAAGATTGTATTTGCTTTCTTTCTGATCCATTAGTATAATCACTCGGAACTTCTCTTTCAGGTATATACATGATATAAGCATTATAACTTCAGAAATTTACACCTAAAAGTTTGAACAGGTGACCTAAGAATGAGTAATTGGGAGAAAAAAATAAACTGGAGACGCCATGGTACCGTAATTTCTTTAGTTATTCACTGAAAAGAAGAGCTTGACTAATGTGAGTGATTCTTTCAAAATCTGTAAACGCTGTTGAGACCTTGTCAAAGTTGAACTCCACTTATAAATGGAGTCTCATTATATTTAAGCATGCAAGGACTCGAGGGATGGTTTATTTAGTTACTTGTATTGACATGACTTCTGTAAAGCTTGTGAAAAGTGCAAACATCTTATTAAATTGATTTTGACCTCTGTCTTGTGCCCCTTAGGCCTTGTTGCAATCAGAAAAGGAAAAAACCAATGATTTGGGGAAGAAATACGCCAAATCCCAAGAATCTAGCGAAGAAAGAGGTAAAAAGTTGGATGAAACCGAAAAAAGAGTTCGCCAACTCCAGGAATCTCTGAGCAGGTAATATAACCTGTAACGAATGCTTGCTTACATGATTTATTTGCTGTGTTACAAAAATCTCATCTTGGATAAGGTTTTATTTTTTATTTTATTTTATTTTATTATTATTATTATTTTGGTGTGGAGAAAGCAAGCATTTTATAGGCAAAAAGCCAAAACAGAAAATACAGAAACAGAGAGGGGCATTCCCCTCTTAATACTCGTTTTGGATAGGTTTGCTATGTTTTTTACTCACTCGTATTCTTGAAAAATAGTTGTACACCTGAAATAGATTAGATAAAGTGTTGCACAATCTATACAAAACTTGACCCTTGATGATGTGGTTGACTACTTAATCATCATATTCTGAGAAACTTCTTTTTTAGAATGAAAAAATGAGTTCAATCCTACGCTCTAGTAATTTGGGACAACAGGTATTTGATGCCCATCCTTCCATTCAAGGCTCATGGCAAATAAAGAGAAAGAACCCTTGCATATAAGAGAATGTTCTCCATTTATATGGGTTAGATATCCATGGAGTTAATGAGGGGTTGGGACAATTATCAAAAGCAACACATCTGTTGTCTATAAATGTATACATTTTAAGAATAATACAGTTTATTTAATTTTACATTTGTAAACTATTCCTGTTACTGGAGACTAAAGTAAAGTAATTTATTTGATAAAAAGATGTCCCTGACGTGCTGATAATTACCAATCATGAAATAACTTCTTGCACCAGAATCCTTTCTATAGTTTGAAGCCGGTTGAACTTCTAACACCACATCACACTCCCATTCCACATCTTTGTGCAATGTTTGGCCTCTAATGTTGTAACTGCAATGACAAATGATATCTAGAGGATTCAATGATTTCCCTCTTTAAAAGAGATGCCAAGATCAGTATGCTTGGATATGGCTCAGGAAACAGGATTGATGATTTGTAGTAGGATTCAGATTACTTCAATGGAGAGAGGAAGGTTATATAACAGACAAATGAGTTGTGAAGAAAAATAAAATTTTTAGGGAAGCTAAATTCCATTGCACCCCTTGGATCCAACATTACTTGCCACTGGTAATTGCTTGAGTACTTATCATCATAAAATTAGAACAGTACCAAGGTACCATTACCAGAAGGAACACTCATATAAGCACAGGGCGGAGTCTGTTGTACCACAAAATGAACTTCTCATTTTCAGTGAATTTTTAAATCGTACCCTTTCAAATACTGGCTGCTGATATTACATAATGCAGGGCAATTGGAAGTTGGGTGCCTTGGGTATCATAGACATCACAATTTGTGGCATAAGATCTCCTAGAATATTGGGAGGACCCAATTGAAGTTGTGACTGACAAGTGGGCAGACTTCATTGTCCATGTCTTTAAGCTTTAAACATGAGATAAATGCTTCTCGGAATTCTTGGCTGTTTTTATTCAACTGCATAAATTGTGTACCAGTTGGCCATCAAGATTTCTTTCTTCATAGGGATTTGCACAAAGCTATTGCAAGTAGATAAATCATTATGCTTCATTGGTCAAGGGGAGCCTCAATCATGCTTTTGTAGGCGAATAGGAACATTTATGAATTGAAGAATTGGCCATGTGTTTGGCTTTAGAAATTTATTTGAAGTGATCATTTATGTTGTGTGAAGTGTCTGAATATGAAATTCTTAGACAACTGCATATAAACTGATAAAGCTGAAATCTCTTAAACAAAACAGTTTTTTAATGCAAGACACTAGCAAATCTTTTAGTAATGAGCCAGAAACATCTACTGCTAACAACCTGATGTTCCATAGTTTCTACTTATGAAAGTTTGGCTTGCCCTTTACTTATCAAAAAAAAAAAAAGTTTGGCTTGCCATTTGCTGTATCAAGTTATTGTACTAAATAAATGGGAGAACATCCAATAATTCTGCATTGTATTGGATCTTCTATGGAAGTGAAAGAAGCTTATATCTTGTACTCTAATCAGGAAAATTCATACAACATTGTATGTGCAGCTAAACAATATTATTTTGACCGTAAAATGATATTGTCTCTAGAAATGTCTCTGAGTTCTTTGATATTACAGTTGTCTTCTCATAATATAATTTCTTGGGAATAAGAGTTTTATAATAAACCCCCTTATGGAATTCTTCATAGTTCATAGGATTCATTGACAACCCCTTGACTTATCAATATATATATGTATAATCATTGACAACCCCTTGCCTCCCAGAAAACAAAGTAACTTTCTCATCGTTCCAAAATTTGATCCTGCTTTCATTTGTGATTTATCTCCATGCAACCTCATAACATAGGCGTACTATTACTCGCTTACTTCCATCTCCGTTTAGTTACTAAAGAGACCCTTATTTACAAGACAACAGTAGTTCACCGTTTTCTTTGGTACTTCCTGTTTCTCATTGAAATTCTTAGCCCAAAAGGAATCTTGTTGAAAATTCTCAATCTACTACCTAGGTGGGAAATCTGATAATGCATTGGACTTTTTATGCGTAAGAACTTCATTTGGTTGTAGCAAATGCAAATGATATTGCCTATGTTCAATTTTCACATTGGAGTTGAGAGGTCATGCCTATTTTAATTAACATTTTATGCTAGTTAATGTTGTTGTCTCTCTGGTGGATCGTGTTTTCTGAAGTTACCTCATGAACCTGCAAAGTGCTACATTTTTTCAAATACTGACAGCTTGCAGGCATTAATTAAATGCCCGAAATGAAGGTCTTTGTCCTCTGATCCACAGAGGATCTTGGTTCACTCTTTTGGTTATAAACAATGAGTCCCTTTTAACATGGACTTCTAATTTTAGTGGATCTGTATGTTTTTGTCAGCAAAGAAAGATCCAAAATTTTCCTCATGATTAGAGAAACAAGTTAGAATGTGATTACAATTGAAATTGCAACATTGTCGTTTACGTTATAAGTATACTATCACTATGTTTAGAGATAGGACGTAGAATCAAACTTGCTTTAGTTATCTTTGCTAGTGATTACAAATAATAACATTGGATACATATAATTCGTGTTTAAGTTATGTTACCTCAATATTATTTTTCATTTAAATTATTTTAAATTTTCTAGTTTTTATTTTAGTTTTATGCTAGGGATCAATGTTGTAAGTGTCGGTAAGTTGAATTGCAAATAATTCCTTTGACCACATCTAGAATCAGTTTTAGATGTTTGCTTCATGATCAAAATGTTCTTATTCTTTCAACATGCATAATTCAATGGTTTCAAACTGAGAAGCCTTTATTTACATCTTTATATCTCAACACCACTGCTTTTGTCTTATCAGACATGGTTAATTGAACATTTAAACTGAATTAGGTTAGAAGAGAAGCTCACCAATATAGAGTCAGAGAATAAGGTTCTCCGTCAACAGGCTGTGTCCATGGCACCTAATAAGTTCCTATCAGGACGTTCTAAATCAATTATGCAGGTATCTCTCAGAAATGAATTTCTTGTTTCAAATTAGAAAAATAAGTTTAATAATTGTGAATTATATATGAATTTTCCTGTTTTCTTAATTTGCAGAGGGGTGCTGAAAGTGGTCATATTTTCGGGGATACAAAGATGGCTTTGGTAAATTGACTGTTGCGAACTCACTGCTTGTGCTAGCAAAGTCTCCTTTATTTTATTTAATTATGTATCTTTCTAACAACCCATTTTTTCAAACACCTGTAAAAAAATTCATCAGGATCTACAAAGCCCTTCACTGAGCCAAAGGGATCTTTCTGAAATAGAGGATAAACCGCAAAAATCACTCAATGAGAAACAGCAAGAGAATCAGGAGTTGCTCATTCGATGTATTGCGCAACATCTAGGCTTTGCGGGGAACAGACCGATTGCTGCCTGTATAATTTACAAGTGCCTTCTGCAATGGAGATCTTTCGAAGTTGAGCGAACAAGTGTATTTGATCGAATCATTCAGACCATAGGCTACGCTATTGAGGTTTGGACTATCAAATTCTACATGTCTCAACTGAGCTTTGCTTTAACGTTATAACATCAGTAGCCAATTATAATTTGACTGAAACATCACCATTCGGATTGAAGACCCAGGATAATAATGACATATTGGCCTATTGGTTATCCAATGCATCAACTCTTCTGCTGCTACTCCAGCGTACTCTAAAAGCAAGTGGTGCAGCTGGAATGGCTCCTCAACGTCGTCGATCATCTGCTTCTCTTTTTGGGAGGATGACGCAGGTAAGTAGAAATTTTCATTTGAACCTAATAATTCTCTGCCTTATAGCAAAATATTAGTTGCTTAATTACTTTATGTTTTTGGATATTTCTTTTAGAGTTTCCGTGGAACTCCGCAAGGAGTTAATATGTCCTTTGCAAATGGCGGCTTGACTGGTGGAGTAGAAACTTTGCGGCAAGTTGAAGCCAAATACCCAGCTTTGCTTTTCAAGCAGCAGCTTACAGCCTATGTAGAAAAGATTTATGGAATGATTCGTGATAATCTTAAGAAAGAGATTTCTCCATTGCTTGGGTTGTGCATCCAGGTATGTCAACTTGTTAAGCTTTTGGAGTAGATGGTTGTTAACACAATCTGTTCATTTACTAACTTATTAGTGAGAAATATATATATAGATATATATATATATATATGAAGGTAAAGCTTCATTTTGTCAACAATTCTATTTAATTCTCCCCCTTCTGGAATATGAACATGTACTTTTTTCCGGATCTATCAAACAGGCTCCAAGAACTTCCAGAGCAAGTTTAGTTAAGGGTTCGTCACGTTCAGTTGTAAATACAGCGGCCCAGCAAGCTTTGTTTGCTCATTGGCAAGGAATTGTTAAGAGCCTTGGAAATTTCTTGAACAATTTGAAAGCAAATCATGTCAGTGGAACTTCTTTTGCTTCCATTTCGTATCTATGTTAATTCTTCTTTTTCTATTATATTAGATGATAAAGATCAGCTGTCAGTCTTGCTCCTTTACATTTTTATAACTCAAGTATTAGTAACTCCAACAATACAGACTTGGCAACTTAATGCTTTGTATAGTGTATCGACTGAGCTTTCACTTGAAACTTCTTCTTATATTATGGTATTTTGCATTCATGGATTATTTCCAGTGAAACATTTATTCACTTACTGTGACTTTTCTTTTCTCCTTTTTCAGGTGCCCCCATTTTTAGTTCGTAAAGTTTTCACTCAAATATTTTCTTTCATCAATGTTCAACTATTCAACAGGTATAGTCTATATGCCTAATGTTTGGATGTTTTTCAATTGTTATAGTTTTGAATGGCCGTATTTCCTTATGGTCTTGGGTACACTGCTTCTGATTGCAGCCTTCTATTGAGGCGAGAATGCTGTTCATTTAGTAATGGTGAATATGTTAAAGCAGGACTGGCTGAATTGGAACATTGGTGTTACAAGGCAACTGATGAGGTACCTTGGTTTAAATATCACTTTACTTTGTGATTTATCATATTATTAACAGAAAAAAGAAAAAAAATTGTGTTGCAGTATGCTGGTTCTGCTTGGGATGAGCTCAAGCATATCAGACAGGCTATTGGATTTCTGGTAGACTCCTGTTTTCTGTTTATCTTTGCATTCCTCGCGCCATTGTTTTAAATGCTGAGGAAGAAGGAAATGTCATCGAATTGTATAAAATTATTACATCTTCTGATTCAGGTTATACATCAGAAACCACAGAAAACACTGGATGAAATAAGCCATGACTTGTGCCCGGTGAGAGATGTTTTATTTTTTTCTCCAGAATAACAAGAGATACAGCTATTTCTACTTCACATTTTTCATTAGGTCTCCATTAACCTTTTCTCTCCTTCCTCAGGTGCTTAGTATACAGCAGTTGTATCGGATCAGTACAATGTATTGGGATGACAAGTATGGCACACATAGTGTGTCCCCGGATGTAAGTTTCTGTGGATGCCATTACTCAAACTAGATTTGATACATTTCTGGTAAAACTAACCACAGTAAGATTTGGCATGCTTCATTCAGGTTATATCCAGCATGAGGGTTTTGATGACTGAAGATTCAAATAATGCAGTTAGCAACTCCTTTCTGTTGGATGATGATTCCAGGTAATTATCAAGATGCTTCTACCTGATCAACTTTTCTGCCTTTTGTTTCACATTTTGCTTTGCATCTTATGGGAACTTGGGCATTTAGCAAACAAACTTAATTTTCACGAGAGAGAGAGAGAGGAGATATATGTATATATATATATATATATATATATATATATATATATATTTGTGTGGCTAAATTTCCACTCATCAGGTTCTCTTTTTGTCATTAATCAGTTGGGGTAATGAACTATGCTAATGCCAAAACCCAAAGCTTAAGATACTATTTTTTTGATAACGGTTGATTGTGTTATGTTTGGCTCATTGTGACACTGCATGTAAACATTAAAAATGTTTTGAATGAAAACATAAAAATCCTAATAATAAAGAGAGAAAAGAAAGAGGGTCCTCTCCAGTCCGTACTGTACTTTCTAGTGCATTGTAACACCATTACCTCGAATTTGCACCACCCTTATTTCGAAGGTGTCAGACCCTGGCAACAACATTACTTCAAAGGTATCACACCTTCGGAATATGGGTGTCGCAAACTCAAACTGAAGATCTTGTACCCTTACACCTTCGGAATATGGGTGTCGCAAACTCAAAGTGAAGATCTTGTACCCTTTTTCGAAGACACCACACTACTTCAAGCGGCAATGGGGGACCACCTTTGGAGTAAGGATTGCTGCGTACTCAATCTGCAGGTATTGTTTACTGGAAGTAATGAAGTTGTGAATGCACTGAAAAGTAGAATATAAGATCTTGTTGGAAAGGATCTGAGTCCGAGATAAAGACAGGTTTCAAAACTTCAAATTGATAGAAAGGAATGAAAGCAAGCTTGTGTACAACTGTAGGTTCTCACAATGGCTAAAACCATTAGAACCTGCCTTCTCTGTTATTTTTGCAAACCATTTTTTCCTGTTTTGATTACTAACATATCATAATGAATCATGGTGCAGCATTCCATTTTCAGTTGATGACATATCAAAGTCAATGGAACAAATAGACATCTCTGACATTGAACCGCCACCTCTTATTCGTGACAACTCAGGTTTTAGCTTCTTGTTGCCGCGCTCTGACTAATTGCTCTATTGCATAATATTCTCTCTAGTTTTAGGTTCTACAGATCAATAGATTTACATTGATTCCTCTTCACTTGTGTATGTCCTCATGGGCTTGTTCATTGGCATTCTTTCTGTAATTCGGAAAAAGTTTTTGTTGAGATTCCCATTGTACATATATTCATGTGCCTCAAAAGAGATGCTTTTGCTCCCTACCAAAATGTAATATCATTTTTTTTTCCCCTTTCTCGTGAAAGGGCATAAATGAAGAGCCTCCAGTGTTAAATTTTCAGTCTTTAACCTTGGTAGTGTTCTTGTGATACAAATTTTATTTAAATAAAATCAGATTGTATGTAGGCACACATATTACTCACAAACGGGCTGTTTTTTTTTTTTTGTCCCATTTGGAGCACCTTCTTTTCTTCTTCTTCTTCTTCTTCTTTAGTTTTTAATCATTTCACCTGATGACTTGAGCTAAGGGCTTGTAAAGGTGTGATCCTGAGCCACTGACCAAATTTGAGGCAAAAGATCGACTTTAATAAATATGGAAATTCATTTACTTTCTGTGTGTGTGTGTGTGTGTGAAAAGTAATTTGAATGTTCCATTCCTCCACCCTCGCAGTTACTCCGAATCACAGGAACCACTATAGGGCAGCTGCATTAAGCAAAAAACATCATAAAGATTTAATCAATTAAAGATAATATGTTTGTGTGGAGTTGCCTTCTACTTGCATCATGGTAAGTTGTGAAATTCCTGTCCAACAAGGATTTGGTAATTGAGTACTCTATAAATAAAGACGAGGTTGAGAGAATATTGTAGAGAGAAGAAAAGTGTCAAGTCTGAGAGAAAAGAGAATGGTAATGAGAGATTTTGAGTGTGTAATTTTGATATTGGAATAAAAATAGTCGTTCTTCTTTACCCATAAATATAGGTAATTTGTCGAACCACGTAAATCTCATTTGCTTTTGTGCGCGAATATTATAGAAGTTAACCATTGCAAAATATTACTGCGAATGAAAATATTAATCAACTATTATTTAAGCCATTTTGGTTGCAGGAGACTTGAACTAGTCCCAATAATCCAAAATGACCTCATTACAGAAGAAGGTTTTGTATGTCTAAGACTTCCATTGATTTCCCAATCATATGCATAAGAATATTGAATATGCCACTCCAATTACACTTTCTAAGATCAAATATAAATCATTTTGGAAATGTACTTCCATGAGGCACTATATCTGATGTGGCATAACCATAGTTTTTTATGAGGTTCCAAAAAATGTACCAACTATTGGAAAGCTATGTAGTGATTTAAAAGTAGTGTCTGTTAAAAATAAATAAATAAATAAATCATAATTTGGCAATGCAATTCAGAAAGCACCAAATTGATAGAGCAAGCTGTGTCCAATATATACCTAAAAAAAATTACTAGCATTTTTTTTTTTTTGTCCCTGACCTCCATCGATGCTCTAACTCCTTACCTCCCTTTGGGAAGTAGAAGTCTGGTACCGCTAGGCCACTGGCTTGTTGGTAATTACTAGCATATTTCCAATCCTGAATATGTTTGAAAAGGCAGATGTTGATCTTGGCATTACCACAATAACAAGAAACAAGATGGAAATCAATTTGGAACACCCAAAATAAGACCTAAAAGAAATGATCAACAACAGCACAACATAATATAACCTAGAAATTTACATGATTCCACTACCACAAGATGCACAGTCTCACCACTTGAAAACACTAAGAACCCTCAGTTCTGGAAATTAATCCTCACATTTGGCATCAGATAAAAAGTTTCCTTGGCTTTGAATGTAAATACTTTTCCCCGACTAGAACTTCCCTAAGTTCAGATGTTAAACAGATTACTAGGTCCATTATGCATACCTCTCAATTACCTTCTTCTGAAGCTTTCAAGTAAAGAGTGTCACCTCCATCATCGTCATGGCCGCCTCCCGAGCTCCCCCCTCCTCGCCCTTCTGCAGAACCGGCACTCCCCATACCTTGCTTGCTCCCAATTGCCAAACCCCTTCCAGAAGCCTGCAAGCCTTCCCCTGACGTGCCACGGCCAAAATCAGGAAAACCCCCAGCTCCAAGTGGCCCACTGCCCTCGCTTTGCAGCCCGTGAATTCCACTGCTGCCACCAGAGCTCATGCCAAGCTGGCTGTGCAAAGCTTGCTGCTGCTGCTGCAGTGCCAAAAAAGGCTGTTGGCTGTACAGCATGGAGGAACGCGCGGCCATAAGTGATTGTTGTGTCATCTGTTGAGCTTGCTGGTGTTGTTGCAGGTAGTTTGCTCCAGGCTGCATAATGCTACTGGGAGGGAACTGGTCATCAACAAATATGGATAAGAAATTTGCATCTGTTTTGGAGTGTTTTCAATTTAAACATAATAGCATTTAGAATTAAAGAGTTATAGTAGAGAGCGAGTTTAAGCAGCATCACTAGAAGGAGTTGAGTGGAAATGGATCCTCTCCAACCAACTCTCTCTCCTGAACTCCGCAGACTTCAATCCTGTAATCTAGATTCAGCCATGTCATCATCTTGTTAAACTCCGTGTTAAAATTTAAGTTAGAACTGATTTTTCAAGTGGTAAAGTTGAACAAGATGATGACATGGTTGAATCTAAACTGCAGGATTGAGAGCTGCGGAGTTCAGGAGAGAGATTTGGTTGGAAAGGATCCTTGTCCGGAGGGTTGATGAGGTTTTTAGACTCAAGGCTTCCCTATCAAGTCTACTTAGGGAATTTAAGAGTTAGTCCGTTCTGAAACAATCACAAATTGGAAGTTGACCAGACTATAATAAGTTTATTTAGAGATGACATCTGAGAAGGTAATCAAGCGGTGTAAAACAATGTATTTTAGAAGAAAAAAGAAATATAGAAATTATTGAGAATAGTTAACTGTGATCATATCTAGCTATTCCTCCCTTAATCATGTGACTTCAATTGCATATAAAAGAGTGCATTTAGAAAACAGGTATGTACCTGAGAATGCATTGTAGGTGGTTGAGGTTGAGAGTCAGCTATAGCAGCAAGGTACATAAGATTTCGCTGAAGCCTTGCTTGGTTCCTGCCATAGTCGAGAAAGGATTACTAGACAATATAACAATTCCAAGTCACAATTTTTTTCAATCCATGTATGGACAAAAAAATAGGCCAAAATTAGTGCTAGTGGACAAGTGAAGTGTATTTCTTGCAGTGTGGAAAAGTGAAGCAAACATAGCTATACATTGCAAGAAGATTTTAAGAACCTTAGAATTTTACGACGCCAGGATTCAAACACAATTTTAAAACCAATATTCAGCCACAAAGCCTGTTGATTACAATAACGTCGTCATGATATTGATGAAGCCATATCCATCCAATATGGCACTATAAACTTCCAGTAAAACTATCAGAGATCAGATCATCACGACAACGTTACTGTAATGTTACGATAAACATTTCTCATTATTTATTTCCTATAACTTTGTCACGGATCAAGTCCACTATTCCACCAGCCTATATATGAGTCATATCTTGTGTAGTCAATGAATCAGATTCGCCATGGTCAATCAATAACGAGATCATTGGCTAGAGAAAAGTATCAATCATGTACTGAGGTACATTGACACTAAGTCAATATTGATTAAAGAGGTAATTGATTGAAACTTTGAGAAACAGTCTAAGGTACGTAAAGAACTACAAGTGACATTTCATCCTATGGTTATGCCCATTTTTTGTAGAATGGTAGGAGTCATTTCGTAGGTTAAGTTTTTCTCCCATTACATGAATGGCCCCTTAAAGTTAAAACCTCCAAGCTCACCTCATTACTCTATTCAGATATATTCTAAAGATGTACGCAAGCAACAAACTAAATTTTGTGAGACAAAATAGCGAGCAAAAAAAAAAAACAAAACATAATTGAAGGAAAATGAAAATTCGTACTTACTCTGCACACTCGCTTAGTTTCCCTGAATTCTGGCTCTCAACAATCTTCAGAATCAATGACTTGTTCTCATCCAGATACTGAAAAATGTAAATTTTAAAGCCAGGAACAGTTGAGCAAAATAACAGCAGGCTTAACACTCCAATTATTGGAAAATATAGAAGATTTATTGGACACCACCTCTTATGCATGGCTAACATCCACTTTTCGGTTTTATTTACCTTCTTATGATATATCATTCAGAATATTATTTACTTTTCATCCCCCAAATTAATTCATTAGTTGAAGGGATGATGATGATGAAGAACAACAATAAAATAAAATAAGAAGAAGAAAGTAATTGATCCAATAACTGTTTTTATATAATTTACCTTTGAATTTCAAAAGTATAATAAGATCATATTATATGCCATAAGCACTCCATCTCACCCATCATGATTTATTTATATGATTACTATTTTCTCCATCTTCTCCCTCTTTTGATTAACATTGTCTTGGGTAACTATGTTATATGGACTCTTGAAAAGTAGGGGTGAAGTAGCTGTGTCTGGGACATGTGTCCACTCTTTTGATTGGACATGCACCTATAACGCATATCTAGTAATTCAATTCTATTATATTATTACTTCAAAACGAGTGAGCTATCTGTATTAGACACTAGGTTACACGAAGATACTATTTTACTTTTCGACGAATGTCAATGCACTTGTAACCTTATTTCAGATCATAATAGAAGTTGTGGGTGGTACTACAAAAAACTTAATCAACACAGACAATATATTGATAGCATCAAAGAGTCTTTAGGTCTAAACAATCATTTTCCTAAGTAAATTGATGATGAATAAGATGTTGCAATATTGCTAAAATTGAGCCTACAATATGAGATATGGACACCCAACCACTTAATCAAAATGAAGCATCTTGCATATGATTCTACAAGTCTAAGATAAAAATTAGAAAATTAGTCTCCGTTTGTGAATAACTCATCTCGTATCTAAGACTAGGCCTACATAGAAGAGGGAGCCTTGAGCACTCTAAATTGCTTATGGAACTTGAACAATAGAGTAGGATCAAAACAACATAGTTTTATTTTAAGAATAAGACGGAGAGCTATCCAAATGACCAAAATTAATATGACATACTAAGAAAGTATAGTTATACCAACAAAAACTCATGTTATCTTATAAAAAGTGAGGTAACTAAAATATATGATGACAATAAAAAAAACCGTGTATCAGATCCTTCAGCCAGATTTACATCTACAATGACAGTAGTCACACAAAAAAACTAAAAGGTCTAAGAGATCAGTAATCCACAAAGTGAGCCGGTCAAGTTCATACTATATTATAGACTAGCCAAGCAGCAAACTCGGAACCAACTTGAGGTCAGTTTGGAATGAAGAATATCAAATTTAGACAATCCAGAACAGCCCATAAAAACAAGTTACTTTTTCTGTCAAGAATTTTTCTTTAAACCTCCTTTGGTGGATTAAGTGGGTGGGATCCAACAAAGAGACTTAGTAGTTGCAGTTTCAACTATCTAAAGCTCAACCATGAGCATTAGCCCAGATGGTATGACCTCTCAATCTCCAAATAAGAGGTCGAGTCGAGTGTTTATGCCGTGGTAGGTAAAATTAGTGAGGGTGTGTGTGTTTGCTTTGAACCATTCGGAAAAATAAAAAATAAAAATGGACAATAGCCTAGCTGGTACAAGCCCTTCTCCCCAAAGGGAAGGTCGGGAGTTAGTGGAGGCACGGGTGTGTGTGAGATTGCTTAACCTTACAAAAAAAATGAAGCAAACTGATGCAGACATGAATACCATCAAAGAGTGGTTCTCTTTTACCATTCTTACATGGTATTTTTTTACATAGAAGAGAAAGATGATGATGAAAACATGGACATACAATCCAAGGGCTAATCTCAGACGGTATATCCTCCTCCTCCTCCTTGATAAAAGGTTGAGGTCCAATAGGACAAATGGGTGACTGTGATTTACCCATCAAAAAAATTTTAAAATCCACTTTTTATCTTTTATCTACTGAAAAGAAGGGGAAAAGAAAGAGCAAGGGGCCACTATACGAGATACATGGAAACATTAGCAAACAAACATCATTCTAAACAGCAACCAATTTAATAATAAACTTAGAGGAAGAGGATAGGCACAAGACTACAGAGTTATGATAACGTAATACAGCAATTTCAAGTCTCAAATATATATATATATATATATATATATATATATATATATATATATAATAAAAATTGGAAAATAAAAGTTCACCCAAAACTCAATATTGTAAACAATAGGGGAGAAAGACACCAAAAACCTCAAAAAGGCTACCAATTTGTTCTCCTGAAACAAAACTAGCAAAACCCTTTTGATTTAGGAGAGAACCATTTTAAAAGACCAGTAAGGAGGAACCAATTAAAAAGTAAATTAAAGATAAACCCCAGAAAAACCCCATTTGACTATTTGAGAATGAAGAGGAAACATCAAAACAACATAACTGGAAGTATACCCAAATGAAAACTAAAATATACCCAAATGAAAACCAATAAGAAATAATTTGGAAGAGACAGAAGGATGAACTAATAAACAAAAAATATACCCAAATGAAAACCAAGATGAAAAGAAAAACAATATATTACTCATTTAATAAAATCAACCAGAAAAAAGAAACACAAACACACACACACACACGTATATATATATATATATCAAAGGCCACCAATGTCTACCTCCACAAGCAACATTGCCATTTTTCTTTTTTTAATGAAAAAAAAAAAGTACAGTACTTTTATAATGAAAAAAAACAGTAATACATGAACCAGGGGGTCTCGAACAGAACATCATAGAAAAAAGCTAAAACCCATGTGAAGACTGTTAGCACATATCAAAATAACATATACGAACACCCATCAACATCCACACCCGTATAAATAAATAAAATAATCATTAAACACCCATTAAACAGGGATGAAACAATCAGAAAGCAGATTGTGAAGGAGCAGAGATAACCAACAAATACCCATTAAAAAGGGATCAATACATATGTTGATTCAACAAAAAAATAAGGTAACAAGTACAGGGACAAACCACAGAGAGCAGTAGCCAGAGCGTGTGTGTGTGTGTTTGTGTGTGAGAGAGAGAAGCAAAGAAAGGCAGAGACAGAGAAGGATAGAAAGGAAGAGGACCTGTTGAATGTGATCAGTGGTAATGTTGTTGGGGTGGTAAGCTGCCATCATGGGCTGCATCTGCATCAGGTGCGACTGCATTCCTTACCTTTATAAAATCCACTCTCTTTCTCTCTCTCTCTCTCTTTCTCTCTCTAGCTCTATGTTTCACTTTCACTTTCTCTGAGTACTGTCTTTCTCACTCCAACAGAGCTGAGAAAGCAGTGCAGGTGCAACAGAGTCCTCTGTGCAATTAATTTTATGTGTCTTTTTGGATAAAGGATGAAATAGACCAAGATGGTACCAAGAATTACTTACCAGACAGTGATTGGATTAAAAGGTAAATAAAAAATAAAATAGAAGAATTATTTTGGGCTGGTTCAAAATTTTTAAAAATAACCTTTTATTTTCTAAGAACTGAAAATCTCCCTATGAATTATTTTTTAAAATTTTTTTTAAAAATATTATTTTATAATTATTTTTAAATAGTTTTTATGTTTTTTGAATTATTGAGAATGATCGTAACGAGTCTTTATACTTTTGTAAGTGGTTAGAATAACGGTAAGCTTACTCCATTATAACGTTAAGACGTCGCTGTAAAATCAAAAATAATATATTCGTACAATGTAAGTCTATGTACATCTCTTAAACTTAGACTTGTTATAACTAATGTATCATTTAATAAGATAGCCATTTTTAAGCGGCAACAATAAAAATAAGAAGGTAAATTTTATGATAAAATAAAATGGATAATTATGAACACTTTTGTCATTTTCTTTCTAAAGTATACTGAAACACATATAGCCCCGTTTGACATACTTAGATGGGCGACGCTTAAAATGGTATAATGTTAGCAAGCTTTTTAAGCTCATCCGTCATCGCTGATTGTTCAGCCAGCTTTCCACTGCTTCCAACGAAAGTTTTTTCGTGGATTTGGAAGTTTGTGAAAGAATTGGGGTAACCAATGTTCGATAGCATTTGGTGGAACAATCAGCGATGACGGATGAGCTTAAAAAGCTTTGCATCCAGATCTGGCAGGCGACTGTGCATCGGAAAACAGTTTTTGAGAAGCTTGTCCCACATTATAGAAAACTGTTTCTTTTGAAAAAGAGGGCAAATCGAGAAGTCTTGTAAACTTCTTCTTTTTGTTTCTGTTTTATTATTTTTGGATTATTATAGTGTCTATTTTGACAACAAAAGTATATTTGTTCCGACCTTAGTTTATTTTACACAGTATTAAAACACTTCGTGAATAATGACCCAAAACTAAAACACCATAAAATTGTTTTTTTGTTATTTTGACAACCGTTCATAACCCAAAACAATAACATTAGTGCAACACGGGCCCTAACAAAAATATCATTCCCAAACATACTTCTAATTTTTTTCCAAAACATTAACGCATGCCAAACGGACCATGTGAGATTCTCTTTGCTACCTTTTTTTTTTTTTTTTTTTTTTTTTTCCTCCTATTAATTGGTAAGTTTTCTTTATGAGATAAGATTATTCTTCAATTTTTCATTCATTTTTCTTCGGTTCCTTCAATCCAAACACAAGTATAAGTTGCAAAAAAAATAAATAAAAAAATAACAGTACAACAAGAAATGGAACACTTTTAATAATTTAGTAAATGATTTCTCGTACTCTTTTACATTCATTTTCCTTCCAATTTTAATCCAAAAGGTGACTTCAAAGTTGTACAAATGACATCCTATGATAGGCTATATATGCATGCATACACTTTATATATCAGCGACAAAATGAATCTCAAAGAGATCATTGATGCTTGTGAGCTGCTTTGGGTGTCTCTCTCTCTCTCTCTACTTTCTCTCTCTAACAGCAGCGGGTCACGTGATGAATAATCATAAAGAGTTTGAGAAACCTAGAATGTTTTTGGACCTCGGTCTTAGACTGTTCACTTGCTTTGATGACTTCATTGCATAGCTGCCGTAACGTGTCATGCACGTGATTTTGGTTGTGGACCACCTGATCTGATCCGAACCAGTAAGGGCTATTATTATTCCATCCATTTCGGTTCAATAAACCAGCAAATATTTTATGAATTAATTTATATTATATTTTTTTATTAAATGAATATTCTAAGGGTGTAGTCTTTTCTTTTATTTTTTAATAAAAGATATTAATAATAAAAACAGTTTTACCCTCTTTACTGTATGAAGCTTCATTAAAACCTAAGCCAATTTTGTCATTCACATTCTTACCAACATTAATCATCTCATCAAGTTTAATTTCCCAAATATAAATCCAATCAATTTCTCTTGTGACTTTTTCAATTCAATTTCAAGAAATTCCAATTCGAAAATAAGAGATTCTTTTGCAAAATTAACTTGACTTACTTCACCTTCTAGGAATCTTACATTTCCATGAAGATCTTCAATCTCCTTCTTTTTCTGTTCACTTTCCTTTTTCAGAGCATCTTTTTGCTTCTCAACTTCTTTCAATTATCTACATTGATTATTGAAGCATTTCTTCGTTTGAACATATGTAACATACAATTCATTAAAGGTTTTATCATAATTCTCCTTTGTTGCTTCCTTGTAACAATCTTCATCATTAGATTTTGCTATGTCCTCAAAATCCGAGTCATCTGTGTCAGACAAAGACAATCTTTTAGAAACATCATTATTCACAAAAGCAAGAGAATTATCATCATCATTAGAAGAATCATCAGAAAAATAAGCATTTTTCTCTTTAGAAACTGAAACATTCATTGTTTTATCCATTTTTCTATCTTTAGACTCTTTCCTAGCAACAATTTTAGGACTTGGACAAACAATTGATGTATGACCTATACCACCAAATGTCCAACATTTAATCTCAGTTCCTTTAGACTCATCTTCTCTCCTTTTATCTTGTCTCTCACTTCCCCTAAATGAAAACTCTCTGCTCCTAAACCTTGACTCTCCCCCTTTCTTAAATGCATTTATTTTTTCAGACTTGATCAAATTTCTGAACTTTCAAGTGATGAGAGCAATTTCTTCATCAGACTCGCTATCATACCTAACCTCAGACTTGGAAGAATCAAACTTTGAAGCTTTTAGGGCTAAGTTTTTAGGTTTTAGGGAATCTCCATAGTACTTCATCTCATAGTTCTTAATATGACCTACAACCTCATCAACTTACATGGTAGTGATGTTTTGAGTTGCTTGCAGTGTTTCAACTTTGATTCTTAACCTTTCAGGCAAAGACCTAAGAATTTTCTTGTTAATTTTCTTATCTGTTACTTTCTTTCCTAGTTTTCGAAGGCCAGACACAATATGGTTAAGTTTCATGTAAAACTCAAAAAATGTTTCAACTTCTTCCATCTTAAGATTTTCAAATTGAAACACAAGCATTTCAATCTTTGAAGATTTGACTTCATCTGTACCCTTATGGGTAAGTTGAAGTATATCATATGCCTTCCTTGCAATTTTACAATGAGCAATACGAGCTAACTCAGATTGGACAACCGATTTAAATAACGAAAACAAAGCTTTGGTGTTTCCTTTTAGAGCATTATTCTAAGCTTGAGTCCACTTAAACTCTTCCTTTTCAATGGTAACTCCATCCTTTGTGATTGTAGGTTTGTTATAACCTT